TAGAATTTGAAAATAACTTGCAGAACATTTTATATGTTAAGACGTAAGTTTAACTAACATATAATTAGCTTTACTCCGCTTGAGATGATTTATTGATTTCATAATATCTTTTTTTAAATTAAATTACTTTTATTGTGTGATTTCTCCTTTTGGATTAGTCAAACATTTCAGTTATTCAACTTCATTATATTGTTTAGCGGAAAAGTTGGTCTAGTTGGTATTCTATTTTTTTTAAAAAAAATTTTAGTACTTTTTCTTAATTATTGGAAAACAATATAATTTTATATGCTCAATTTTCTAATTTTGTTGTCATTCAAAAACTAATAATCATGCATTTTTGACATTTTTACCAAATGTTTATGTTAGCCCTTTGTATACATTGTTTGACTTTTTTAAAGCTTTTCTTAGACATTTGAAATTTTTGATTTTTAATATAATATGTTGTTCATAAGTTATTAAATAAACAATTTAAAAAATGAGTTAATTGATAATATTCGTCAACATTTTCAATTTATAATTATTTTGTAGTTAAATATTTTCAATTTGATAGCTAAGGTTTGAAAAATTAATACAAAGTTTCTATAATGTAGTTTTTACTGAAATCCAGGGTTAGGTTAACTCAAATTTTTTTTTATACACATTTGAATTTAAAATTTTGGCAAAACTGAATATTTAAATAGTCTATTTATATCTATTTAGTTATTATGTTATAATTCAATATTCAATAATTGTGGGGACTAGAAATATTTAAATTCTTCTTAAGGTGATCAATTGCAGACAGTTACTTTAGCCACAACATACCATTCTTTCTTTTTTCCATCATACTTATCATGTTTCTATGCATTGATCTATCATTAAATTTAAATTAAACTCATTTATTAATATTACGAGGTATACTTGACTCTTATTGTATAGCAGAGCAGTTACCCACTCTTTCCTCTTTTTCGAATTTAAACATATTTTAATATGTTGAATATTTATTTTTTTAAGTAATAGCCCTAAAAGTGAGACTTCACCGAAGAAAAAACGAGATGTATCAAATTTTGATCCCCAAGAGTTTCCAAATAGTACAATTTCAAGAACCGGAATTTTATCTGATGCTGATAAAAATTTAGAAAGTATGTAGTTTATTTTTTAATAACATAATTTTATAGTATCTATTAATATATATATATGTATATTTTTTTTTTAGATGAAAATAAGAAAATAGTAGTTCCTAGTAATCAGTTGACTTTTACGCTGCATGAAAATTTAACTCATTTTACTAGTTATAATATTGAATTATATGTGTGTAGAGAATGGCTCAAAAATGAAAACAAAGAGCCTAATCAAAACATTAGTAATTGTAGCATTCAAAAAGCAATGACAACAGCTCAAACAAGCAAAAAAGGTAAACTAATATTCTAGGTTTTTATATGAAACCAACCTTATCCTTGTTCTACACTTATCAACTGTTGTTTTTATTGTTTTGATTATATAAAATCTTTCTTAGGCGATTCATATTATGTAAATTAGTGTTAGGGGTTGAAACCAACATACATTTATTACTTGTATTTATTTTAATACTATAAAATATTTTGACTTTTGAGCAATAAGAAAATTTACTCAAATTGGTGACCTACTTGGTTTTGCATATCAAATTGAGGTATGTTTTAATTGTTTTAAATTTGAACTGTCCAATTCAGCTACCGTAGCTTTAAAAAAAAGTATGTAGTATTCGAATTCTTGACAAGAAGTTACTCATTTTGTCATGATATAACATATACATTCTAAGTGTAGATAGATTTTCAAACATGAACTTTAAAATAACTCACTTTCCAATTAAGCCTGACTGCCAAATTCTGACTTATATTATTTATTTATAGCAACAAAATAAGCTAACCTTACCTGACAGTAAACCCATAAAAGTCAAAATATCAAACAGAATCCAAGATTTTCATTATTTTCTTAACTCTCTTATTATAAAGTTATTTTGAATTGTTTTTTAATTTTAGAATCTGCTGATAGAATTGATCCCTTAACTGTTAAAGCTGTTAACACAAATACAACCAGCCCAGGTTCAATTAAAATATTCTGGAAAGAGCCTGAAGTTTCAAATGGACCTATTGTTAGCTATCAGTTAGAATACAAAAAAGTTGGAGATCATGTAATATTAATAAATATATATATAATTTAAAAATGTATTAACTTTAAAACAAAACATAAATGTATTAATTTATTTTTGGTATTTAAATAGCTTAATCCACCTGTTGTTTGTATAACCAGACAGCAGTATCAGCAATCTGACTTTTCACATACTTTATCAAATGTAGCACCTGGAAATTATAGTTTTCGATTACGTGCAAGGTCTTTAGCTGACTATGGGGAATTTACACAATATAATCATTTTGTAATTCCAGTAAGTATTTATTTGGATTATAGATTATTTATTATTTATTATTCATTATTCATTATTCATTTTATATTTTAAGGAGGCTCTTTCGATTACCACTCCTCAATTGATGTTTATTATATTCATGGTTATTGGAATGATTGGCGCTGTAATCATGTTGATATTCTTTGTTTTACATCGTTATTATAAAAATAAATTGGCCTCAACAAGATTATTTGTCACATGTAATCCGGATTATGTTAGTTGTGGTGAGTTTAATTATTAATGATAAATTATTCAATAACACATGTTTATTATATAGTTTTAATTACTGATGTTTGTTCTGTAGAATATCAAACTGATGAATGGGAAATTCCTCGTGACGATGTTGAAGTTTTAGAGCCATTGGGTCGGGGTTCTTTTGGCATGGTATATCGTGGTAAATGGAAGAAAAAAGAGAATGAAATTGTACCATGTGCAATCAAAACAGTTACTGAAAATAACAATATGATGGTTCGACATGATTTTCTTTCAGAAGCTAATGTTATGAAGTAAGTTCAAACATCAACTAAATCGTTTTATAATTAACTGTGCAAAACAAAGCCATAAATATGTTAAATGTTAAATGTTTTTTTTAAATTCATTTTTATTACAATGTATCATTGTACAGGGAATTTTGTTCAGCTCATGTTGTACGCTTATATGGTGTTGTATCACAAGGTCAACCAGCATTTGTTCTAATGGAATTAATGCCCCAAGGTGATCTCAAGTCATATTTGCTTAAACATCGTCCAGAAATGACTACTGATCCTTCTCTTAAACCTCCAACATTAAGGGTATTTAATTTTTTTAAGCATATATAATAATTTGTCTTTTTATTTTTATAAATTATGTAATAAATATCTATGTAAATATTTATGTATTCTTTTTTTACAGGATAATTTACGTATGGCTATTGAGATTGCAGACGGAATGTCATACCTTTCATTCAAAAAATATGTTCATAGAGATTTAGCAGCTAGAAATTGTATGGTTAGTGATAATAATATAGTTAAAATTGGAGACTTTGGTCTTACAAGAGATATTTATCAGACAGATTATTATAGAAAAGGTAAATGTTTATTTTATTGGTTAATCTTTTTCATATTTTTATTGAAATATACATTGAATTTCAGATTCTGAAGGTATGATGCCAATCCGATGGATGGCCCCAGAAAGTCTTCAGTCCGGTCTTTTTACTTGTTTTTCTGATGTCTGGAGTTATGGTATAGTGTTATGGGAAATGGTGACCTTAGCAGCTCAACCATATAGGGTAAATAATTCGAATATAATTTGTATTTTACAATTATTAATGGTTGGATAATGTTTTAGGGGGAGATTGACAAGAATGTCATATCTTATGTTAGTAGTGGCGGTATTATGGAAAAACCAGACAACTGCCCTGATATTATATATGATTGTATGAAGCTTTGTTGGCGCTTTAAAGCTTCAGAACGTCCTACATTTGCAGAAATAGTGAAAATGTTCTTGCCATGTGCTCGTCCAGATTTTGCACAAACATCCTTTTTTCATAATGAATTACAGTCTGAAACACAACGACTTGATGTGTCTGAAAATGGTATCACAGAAACAGAGTCTTTGGAGAGGGAGCGTAAGCAAATTGAACGAGACCAGATTACGACAGCATTAGAAAATCAAGCACATTATTGGGGAGGGTCATTGCCTGTTGAACGGTTAGCACCAAAAGCAGATCTGGAAGAAGATGATGATGATGAAGAAGATTCAGATAATGAGTTGCAACGGTTACATATTGAAAACTTTGCATGTAAAAGGCCACCTAACGGATACATGTCCATACATAATGGTAATGGTATAAATACCACTATATGCTGACCGTAATTTTATTATTATTATTATTATTATTATTATATATATATTTTTTTTTTAATAGAAGTAATTTTTTAGATCAAACTTTTTTTCTCTTTTATATGGTATATTTTGTTTTTATATTTATATAGTTCCTAATTGTTGTGTCAAATATGCAGAGATGGGTCTATGTTATGTGTATAGAAATGTAATTTATGGATAAATCACACAATTTATATTTTGTATGTAACATATATTATATACATACCTTTACACATTTATATATGTTTTACCAATAATATTAAAGTGTGTGTGATTTTCTTTAAGTATACACTCTAAACAGTTAGTTCTTTTTATTTTTTAAAACCATATTTTGTTTTAATATTAATTTAAATGATTATTGACCTTTATGGTAGTTTTAAATAATGAATACTTTTCTTAAAGTTGTTAATTGTATGAAAAAAAAAACTAAAAAAATTTAATTCACTAGTTATACAATCAGATATAAAATTGAAAAGCAATAGTTTTATTGTTTTTCAATTTTTAATTAAACCATGACACGTTGTTTAAGTATAATATAACGACTATTTTATAGTACATTTCCCAAAAATATTGAACTATAAATAAATGTTTTCATAATTCTGTTTTAAATCTTAAAAAATCAATAATTTGCTTGTGTTTATGTACACAATTTATATATTTTATGTATAAATAGTTATTTTTTTTAAATTTATAAAAAAATATATATATAATATTTCACCCATCTTTGCAATATTAATTTAACATTTTTTTTAACTTCCTGTGAATTACCCGCACATGGGTAAAATCAGATTGAACTTGCTCAATGCCAAAGCCAGTGTATTTTTTCAATATAGGTTTAGTTCCTTTTTTTCTTTTCTTTCCACAGGTGTGCAATTTAATAGTCTATAGTTTTTTATTATTATTATTTTTATTATTATTATTATTATTATTATTTTATAAATCATATTCCTATAAGACTGTCTTTTTTAAATAAAACTACTTATGTAGTTTCCATAGTACACACATATTTAAAGTTGAACCTTTGTTACCTGAAACTTAGATTTAAGTTTTAACATATAATATATGTATATATAAATGATATATATATATCATTATAAGACATGATTCTGGTTCAGTTCCAATATGCAAAAGGAAGTAAAAGGAGAAAACAAACACGTAGATAATTTGGTTATATGTATTCATTAATTTTAGTTGAAAGTGTTTTTATACTTTTATTTTATTATTTTATAAAAAGTGGTGTAAATATGTTTAATTTGACTTTAATTTGATAAATTGTGTAAACTAACATTTTTTTTTTGTAACTATATATTTATACTTATATTATGTGTTATATAATATGTATATTATATATATGTGACAAGTAGCAATCATGTGTCTTGACCAAATGTTTTGTCATAAGTGCAGTAATAAATGTATAATTATAATTGTTCCTAATTACAATTTGTAGATTCTAAACAAATACATGATTCAAGATAATTGTAATGATTAAGTATTAATTTTAAAAAAAAATGATTCTGAAAATACCTTATTCATCAAAATAGGCATAACTTTTCTTTGTTCAATATTATTTTGCAGATTTTTAAGAAAATACCGTGAAATTCAAGAAATAATTTTTAATGAATATGTGGTATTTATCTGGTATCTGGATGGAACTATGGAATATCCGATTCTTGATTTTAATAAATTTTATTGAATGCCATTAAATGTTTTACCAATTGCATTGTATCATGTTTTGGTATTCCTGAAAAATGATGTAATTTTTGTCAACCACAAAATGTTTGTATACTGTAATTTTAAAGATGCCTAAATTTTGTCACATATACATTTTGATATTGATTACCTATTACCAACTCATATCATAATTTTATTATTTTAAAGTTTAGACTATATTTTTTCTGTATATTTTATCTTGAAATATTTTTTATTGTCTATATTCTTTTAAATATTCTTCATTCAAGAAACAATTTGTCACATTCGATAAATTAAAAATAAAATCTCATATATATTTCATACTTCATAACATAGACATACCTATAATATAATAGACCGCGAACAACACATATTCCATGTAGAAATTATAGAAGCCAACATATGTGCGAGTGAGAAAGACTAAAGAGGTTTTCTCATGGGGGAAAAAAAAAACTTTTTACTGCATGACAAAATAATGATGATAGTGATATCATCATTTTTTTACCATAACAAATAACAATAAACAATAACAAATTGTTGATGAATGTCTGCTTCTAACGTGAACAGCGAGTTTTTTAGTTGCCTATTAAGCCTTTTTATTTTGAACACTTTGATATAATGGTTCAAAAATGTTATAGTTGTGGTTCTGCTAAGATAGACAATGTTAAACTTCATGGGTAAATATTTTTTTATTCATAATACAGGATGATTTTATTATCAAAAACTTAATTTTTTTCTAAAAAACTGAAAAACTATATAAGGATAAAAAACAATTAAAAATATAATTTTTGAATTAAAACCTTTTTTTCAAAAAACTTGAAACTAAAAAAATATTTTCAAAATAATGAGTGGTTCATGATAAAAAAATTACATAGTATATTATATACTTTGGATCATTACATGAATTTTATAAATATTTTTTTTAATTTTTACAGATTTCCTAAAGATATAAATGGGTTGCTCAAATAAAAAAAGATGTTCCTATTATCATACAAATCCATTATAATCAATGCTGAAGTTAAATGTCTAATGTCCATTGACTGCCAACGCTTTAGCATTAGACGACACAAGTATTCTAAGAATATCAAGTGCTCCACCAAAAAAAAAAAAGATGAGCAATCTGAAATGCTAGATTTGTTATGTGCTGCAGGAACTGAAATAATTGAAACAGAAGATATATTAGACATTTATGAGCACAGAAATTCCCTTAATGATGTTTTAACATACATAGCAGGATTTGTTGTTTAAAAAATGAAAAAGGATATTCTATGTACAGTTTGTGAAAAATCTTTGGGAACAAAAGAATCGGGATCTGCTCTAATTGGACCTAAAATTGAGGTGGTTTAATTATTGTAATTTGTTAGCTGAACGTGTAATTCGTGGATACCAAAGAATTGATGGATCAAACGTTGTAAAGAGGATTACAATTGAATGTATGAGAAAAATTAATATTAGTAAATATTTTATCTCATTATCAAATCATTTTCTCGAACAAGAACCTTTCAATAATCATCTCCTACAGCTGTTAAAACTAATTATGCACATTTTTATTACACTAAGACTTCATCATATTAATTCATCAACAAATTCAATAGATCAAAAAATTAGAACATTCTACACAAAATTAATGCTTTTTCAACATCAATAAAATATCATAAGTAACATAAAAATAATATATTTTTTACCTTTTGTTTGTTATTATACCATTTTTACAAAACACATATTATAATATATCATTTGTAATTTGTAATTATTTGTATATTATATACTGCAAAGTTTAAAATGTTTAAATTATAAATATTTTTTTTTTAAACTTGTAAAATACTGTAAAATACTCACTCGGACTAGGTAAAATAATGTAACAAAACGCTTAAGCACCCCCAAAATAATTAATATAAATAATTTAGCTTAGGAACTAGAGCCTGTACTCTGTAGATAAGACTCAGCTACTTAAACTCAAACAATTAATACAAATAATTAGTTTATTAACAAACGATTATCAGAGGTCTCTCTGAAATAAAGTGTCAAAGTTTAAAAAATATATATAAAAAAATAAACTATAGTTAAGTCAATGAAAAAAATTGTAAGGGGCGATCTACAATTTACATATGAATTTTGCAGTATTTAATATTTATTAAATATTTATTGATGACGAGACCGCATGAATAATAAAAACTTCTCATTGTCATTTGTCTCCGTGTTCCGTAGTGGGGGCCTTATCAATAATTCTTATTGATATCGATTATCGACTATCAAGTCCGCCTCGAACTCTTGAACTCTCGAGTCTCGACACTCTGCGACACGCCGGCACTTGTCTATGTTCGGTGTGCGAAAAAAACGATAATTTCGACAACACCGATAAAAAAAAAAAAGATTCATTATGTTATACCAATTATAGTTCATATCATGGCTATTGGCTAGACAACATGTAATTTCCTCAATAACGGTACACGTACTTAGTCCACGGTATACATTGCACACGTACGCTCGCTGCACCGGACCCTACGCCATGTCGGTTTGCGGTAATGTCAACGATGATGAAGGCGGCGTGCCGGAGTACGGTTGGAAGGTGGATTTCGATCACAAATTCCCCGATCCCAGAACGCCGTCTTACATGCCGAGGATCAAGCAGATCTTGCAGTTACTACCACTGATCGTTAGGTATAATATCATTTGGACGTTTCATCAACTAGGTCGAGACGGAAAACCTGCAGACCGAATTGGTTTAAGCCTTGGATCCTTGAATTGTTTTAGTCCTCTTGATTTTTTTTTTTATTCCCCATACTGTACTAGGGGTGATGATTAATTGGTGTCCGCACTATAATCTAAACCGCTAACCGGTTGCAGTGGGCAAAAAGTATTTTTGCTTATAGTATTGAGTAGGGATGGCAAATCCATTGAACGTGGGCCTGAGGTAGGTGGCACTCGAATACATTTTGATAGTAAATAAAATCACAATGTTGGTACTTTTTCAGTATTGTTGATTTCTTTCAGAAAAGATTAGATTAATAGATTTGTTAATGCGTAGATAACATTCTAAACTTAAAATTATGTTAACAAAAACTTATAAAAAAAGCTTAAGGTAAAAAATAAACTAATTAAGTTACTGTAAAAAGAAATTATTTTGTTGGTTATTAATAGTGTAATACTAACATTAGTTATATTCATAGGCGCAAATAGTGGACTAAGTTCCCCAAACAATTCCTAAATTTTTTTTAAGCTTGTTCAAAATTATAGTAGGGCTTCAGCCTCCAAAATATTGAACGATATTTGCGACTGTGGGATTATATTCACTTTGATACATGAAAAAAAAAGTGTTAAAAGATAGTTATTCTTTTTTATTCTTTTACTTCGTCATATATCTATTGCCGTATTATGTTTTATAATATTTTTATATTCAAGGCAATAAATACAATTTAAACTATTAAATATGATACTCAGTTTTATATAACTAAAGAAATTGATTTTTCATTAAAAACAAAATTTCATCGGGTAACCATACCTTTGATTAAGTAGTGTACCTTCAAGGGTATTTTATATTTTATCAATGCTATCATGTCTTAACTTAAAAAAAAGAAGTTTTTTGTATTATTATAAATTGATAATTATTGATATTTTGAACGTGTTTGAATGACCTTATAAAATAGAGTGCCTGATAGCATTTGTAAAAAATGGTATTATGTAATATGGTATTTAAGAAATATTCATAGAACAAATTAGATAAACCTCAAGATCTACAAATATTAATATTACCTAAGTACTTAACTACTTAACTCATCAGTCATTAGTAATTCACCAATTAATAATGAGTAAAGACACATTACTCATTATTACCTAATTGTTTTAATGTTTTAAATACATATTCAGTTAACTTATAAGTTAGTTACATTATTTGATAATAATTAGAGTTGAACATGCCCGAACCACTAGTCTGCTATTATGGATAGAGCCTCGGCCTCATTATGGGAATTGGGGTCCCTGATTTTATACTTATTAATTATTATTGGGACATTAAATAGAAATACCAAATAACTATTTTTGAAATGTAGAAACGTATATTCACGTATATCTGTTTAAAACTTTGTAAAGTTCACAATAATTTTTAAAATAATGACATTATCATAGTTGGTTTGGGATATTATTCATGTTTAGTTTGTTATAGCTAGGGCTGTAAATTTAATGCACTAAAGTACCTTAAAAAAAGGCAAAAAAATGCAATATAAAATGCCAAAAATTATTGTATAAAATTCATTATAATGGTTTTTAATTTAATTTTTATATTTATATTAATATTAGGTACAGGATATTAAACGTTAATACGTTACATGCATAAAAAAGTGTTTATTTAATAAAAAAAAAATAGTAAAAATGTTGATTGAATTTGAATTTTCTGTACTTAATGCTATTCACCTGAAACATTTTTTAAACATTTTAGAAATAAATAACTTATGTAGTTATCTAGAAATTCCCTTATTTTATCGACGTATATACAGCCTGTGTACAAAAACAAATTTTTTTTTCAAACATTTTTTCCATCAATTGACGGAATTTGATTTAAAATACTGGAAAATTAACTAAAAAAGGAAAATATGACTTTAAAATTCATAAAAATGACCTAAACAATTAAAAATGTAAAAAAATTGTAAAATAAAAGTTGCCTAAATTTATTTGTAGCTACATAATTCAAATTATATACTTACAAAGCCACGTTTCACAATCACCCCAAAAAAATGCACTCTCCCACAAATTCACAGCCCTAGTTATAGCCTTATAGGTACCTTTTAAATCTTTAATATTAATTATAATTATAAAGATGTATAATACCTATTGTAGTTTAAATAAATAAGAAACTATAATACAATTTGATTCGGTGTGATTCTTTACCATGTCTGATGGCACAGTTTAAATAGAAAAGTCCTGTTTTTCTATTCTTTTAATTTTTTTTTCTGATTTCTCTATAAAATGAAAAGTACTTGGAGTTTCAACTTTTCCCTTAAGTATCAATTAAATCCAATGTCCTATCAAAAACCACTTTCAAAGTTAAAAAAATTACTTTTGTGGCTGTAAAAGGTTATAACAAAAAAAAAATTGCATAAAACTAAAATGCTATTAAAAAAAAAAATCAAAATAATAATGTATTTGACCAGTTTACAAGTGTACACAATGAACAAACTTTTGTCATTGAATGAATATATTTTAAAGAATAAAATATTACTTGATGTTTGGTCAAATTTATTATTTTTATTGAAACTTATTATTTAAATTATTTTTTCCAGGTATGTATTTTACATGCTATTATGTTATTTAAAAGGCCAGAAACCAATAATGGATTTTCTATTTCCAATTAAATCTAAGCACATGTATGGTAAGAATTTTTATTTATATCTAAGAAATTATTAATTTAACGCTTTGGTTAAACCTTATTTGTATGAGAATAATCATAACATAACAATTGATTTTGATTATTTTATGTTTTCAGGTGTACCTTTGGGTGGTATTGGAGGTGGAACCATAGGTCGTGGATTTAAAGGAGAGTTTTGTCGTTATCAAGTTGTGCCTGGCATGTATGAGTATGAAACTGTTCAAGCAAATCAGTTCATTGTTAATATTCAAGATAGCGAAAATATTACTGTATACAATAATGTTCTGTCATGTCTGGAGTAAGAATAAATGTGTACTATTTATATTATATGTAAATAACATTTCTATCATTTAATTTTCTATATTAAACAATTTAGGTCTAACAACAAAACATTGTACAATTGGAAATGGAATTTTCCATCAAATCAATGTAAGTACACTGGTCTCTATCCAAGATCATGGACCGAATATTTGATTCCAGAATTTCATATCAAACTAATTTGCAAGCAAATTTCACCCATTATTCCACATAACTATAAAGTATGTGATACCATTGTATTTTATTTAGCTTTGTAAAATATTTAGTATAATTTAATTTAACACCTACATTGTATAACCTAATATTATAGGATAGTTGTATCCCAGGTGGTGTTTTCATATGGACAGTAGAAAATAATAGCGATAAACAATATTCAATAAGCTTAACATTTACGTTTGCAAGTGGTAACGGCGTTCCAGTATATAATACAGGTGAATACAATATTAAATTTTTTTTAATTTTAAATTAATACCAAAAATCTAATTTCAAAGTCTTACAAATTGATTTGTGATAAATAGAAAAATGTATTCTCATAATGTTTTCTTTAATTCATAGCTACCATAAAGCCTTTATTAAAAACTGCTTCTGTTATAAATGATAATACCTTATTTCACTCATATATTTTGATATTATTATTTCATAAATAGTCAATATTATTCAGAGATTATTGCTTGATAAATGATGTAAACATACAAATTAGTTATTTTCTATGAAACTATTATGTCTTACTGTAATATAAATATTATTCATTTCCCATTTAACTATGAGATTTTTTGTTTTAATTCTTTAGACCAACCTACTTGTGAACCGTTCAACTTAAACGAAGATGGTACTGAGGTTGCTGGTTCATTGATTCACAATTATTTTAGAGAAATGAAGTGTACCTATGTTATTGGTGGATTAATAAAAGTAATCAAATTAAATGTTCAAGTATTTGATTTTTAATTTTGAAATTATTAACATTTTTACAAAAGGAAGGTGCATCATTCAGTCAATTAAATTTTGATCCAAAAAGCAATGGTATGACCATATCAAAAAGCTTAAATTTGTTTGGAGAGTTGAGAGATATGCAATTAGGGCCAACTGGGCCAAGTAATATATACTGTAAGTAATATATTATATTTAATACCAATCGACAAACATTGAATGGATAAATACATTAATATGAATTATTTATACTCTTTTAGCGAGAGATGAAGAAGTTGCTAGTGCAGTTTGTTTAAAACAATGTTTACTCCCAAATACATCAATGACATATGAATTTGGATTATTTATAGATATGCCTAAGATTAAGTTTCCTAAATCAAATACAGAATATTTCAGGTAAATTATATCTAATTAGCAATTTATATTATTCTATAATATATATGTTAGAACATTGAAAGCTTAATTTATATTTTTTAAGGTACTATACTAAGTTTTTTGACAATAATGGAACAGCTGGCCCTAAAATAATGCATTATTCAATGCAAAACTTTAAAAAATGGGAACAAGAAATTGAAAAATGGCAAAATCCTATTTTAAAAAATCCGTAAGTACATAATATAAATTTTATATCAATTTCAAATTTGTTTAAAATTAATTGTATTTGTTTATTTATTTATTAACATTTTTTACGGGACAAGCCCTTTAACACAGAAACATATATTAATAATCTAAGCAGCCCAAAACAGAAAAAAAATGTATACAATGTATAATTTTGGTTTTAATTAAGTAAGTACAAAATATTGTGATAGGTATATTAAATGGTTTTTAATTTGAAAATATAAACAAATCTTTTGTTTTAATACATTCATTAGACATAAAAAAAAAAATCAACATCACAAATTAGGTTACATAGCATAAATTCTCTCAGGAAAAAAAAAATCAATACAAATTATTTTATTGATACGTAGTTGTAATTTTATAAGCTATAAAGCCATTGCTATTTAAGCCTGGTTCCCCCACCATTAGAGGTTTCATACTCAACAAGGTGGTAGTTGCCGTTGCCAAGTTGATATACACGAGATGCATTTACGCACACATGCGTAAACATGTAAAATAGTATGAATATCACATTTGCAAAACACTAGCCGAGGTGGCCATAACCTACCAACTCTACACTTTTAGCTGTTGATTCAGGTACATTGCATATAGCTGCGTTACTAGCCATGCGGGGGGTCGCACTGCACTGTGTGTTGTTGTAACTGATATGCAGATACACAAGCTGTACCTCATCTTATAGTGATTTCATCATAATAACTAATAAGTCATAACTGGGCACTTACTAATTTTTTCTCCATTGACCATTGTCCATAACCAATGATATTGAAATAATTTTTACTATATATTTTATATTATTTTAGTTTTTATATAGTCTATGATAAATGTGTTACTGTGTTAGAGTAGTAGACAAAAGTGTATTTATTTGGTCTTCTCATGTTAAAATTCATATCAAAACCACCACTACAATAGTTATAACAGAATATATAACATGCAAAAAAGATTGAACTACACTTAAAAACTATTGAATTCACATAATAATCAGTATAATAATTTGATATGTATTCATACACTTGGGTTCATTCTTAAAGTTGGATAATTTGAATTAACCTCTCATAAAATAAGACCCGAGTGATGAACATGTTGAATTATTGACCAGATTACTGAGATTCTGCTGTAATCTGTATTGTGTGTGTTTAATATTTATTAATAATTTTCCTTTTTGTAATTTTTATTTTAGATTACTACCTGACTGGTATAAAAGTGCCATATTCAATGAAGTTTATTTTGTAGCCGACGGAGGAACTATTTGGTTGTTACCTCTCAAAGAAGATTGTGAACGGTTAGATGTTACAGATCCAAGATACCAATATGGATATTTTGGATATTTGGAAGGTCATGAGTATCGAATGTACAATACATATGATGTACATTTTTATGCATCTTTTACATTAGCAAAACTATGGCCTAAACTACAAGCATGCATACAATACAAGTTTAGAGATACAATTGACAATGCATTGAATATTACAAGAAAACACTTGTCCTGTGGTACCAGAGGTTTACGGAAATATAAATATAGTGTACCACACGATCTTGGCGATCCAGGTTCGTTTTAATTAATTAATTATTTTTTGTAAAAAGGTTTTAAATTCATAAATTATGTTGTTTTTTTATAGAGGAAGACCCGTTTAACTTAGTGAATGCTTATTTAGTACACAATGTTTCTGAATGGCGTGACCTTAATTTAAAATTTGTTTTGCAATGCTACAGAGATTACATTTTGTTTGGTGATAACAAGTATTTGGCTGATATGTATCCACAAGTAATTAAATTTAAATATTTATCCAAACAGTTTATTTTTTATTGTTATGAGAAAAAAATATTTTGTGTTCTATGTTGTACCTACAATAAATTTAAATAAATAATAATTTACTTATACATAGATAAAAAATGTGATGGAAAAATCATTGTCTTGGGATACTGATGGCGATGGAATGATTGAAAATTCTGGAACAGCCGATCAAACTTTTGACACATGGATAATGACTGGAATTAGGTAATAATCGTTTTTTTAAATATTCATTTACTTGATTTACTTGAAAGAAAAAAGTTCCTTAAAAATGTTCAAATTATAATAAAAAAAATTGATATTGTCTTACTAAAGCTGGGCAAGCTAGTCATTTTTTTCAACTAGTCAAAGTTAAGTTACATTGTTACAAAAATTAACTTAGTTAGGATATAAGTTAGTTTCTGAAATTTTCTAAATTTCCAAATTTGTTAGAAGTTAGATTGGTGAAAATAGTGACTTAAGTTGGAGTAGATGTTAGAAGCATGGATTTTAAAATATAAATTTAAAACCTGTATGTTCAGAATATATTTAGTATTACATGAATTAATTACTTGGTGTCTCGATATCTTACCTAAATTATTGGTGACTGACCTAACTGATAATTTGATCTAACGTCTCAACTTTTAAGTAGGTAGGTAGTAGGTACTAATACTAATTACCCTTATAACTTAGAAACAAATTGGAATATCAGTTATTAGAACACTGAATGTATTACAAAATAAGGAATATACAAACTGTATGATATTATATTTGCATCATATATACATCTATTGGCCATTATAATTATAGGCTTCGTGGTTAATGTGTTTTAAAAGAAACAGGTGCATTGTATAACTAATATAAATAATTAATAAAAATAATATAACAAAAGATACGTATTTATTGTAAAATTAAAAATACTCAATATTTATTGTTATAAAATTAATAATAAAATTTATGATCATGGCTATAAATACCTACTAATAATTGGCATTCAGCAGTTTTGCGGAACATTTGGATTTGTTTAATGAAAAAAAAAACTACAAAAAAAACTAGTTACTTATTGTAATAAACGAGTTAGATAAGATTATTCTATTCAAATACTTAAGTTATAAACTTAATATGCATTAAAACTAACTAGTTAGTGCCCAGCTTTGTGTCTAAGTAAGGACATTTTATCATTAGGGACTGGGGTAAAGATTCATGTCCATCTACTTATCTAACAGTGTAATTGGACATATTTTACACAATTTTTTATTTTAAATTAAATTATTCTGTTCTTTTAGTCCCTGTCCCAACAGTGGTGGTTAATCGAGTTTCTACTGTAGTTAGTAAATAGTATAAACAGGAATCCAAAAAAATTTGATACGCTAAAAAAATAATTTCTTAAAAATGTCAATTTGTTGACTCTGAGGATTTCAAATTTGATTGATGAGCGACTAAACTATATAATAACTATAAATACTTATATTTTTAGTGCTTATTGTGGAGGTCTGTGGTTAGCTGCTCTTTATTGCACTGTTCAGATATCTAATATTCTTAAACAAGATGATATCAGTGAAAAATATTCAACTATATTAAATAAAGCCAAGGAGTCATTTAATGCTGCTTTATGGAATGGTAATTTTTTTTAGTTATAATCATATTAATCGTCAAAGCATTGAGTGTTGTGATGGTTAGTTGATTTCGTAATTTATTTATAATCTATAAATCACAAGACAGATAAGCAGATAAGTGTACCTTGATGTATATAATGTGAAGCCTCAAAGATATAATGTATACATAAATTATACACTGTTAGTCTGGTTAGTTTAAGATCAGTTGAGAGTTTTATGACTTTTATAATAAACAATGGCCAAAAATGTATTTTCAATGATTAAACAGATCCTCCCTTGTTGTCATTTAAAAATAGAAAGAATAGAAGGTTAGATTATGATAAAAATTAAGATATATAAGACTAATTAAATATTTAAAAAATGATGTATTTATTTTCAAAAATGTACTGCAGTGTATTATTTTTAATTACAATACTTCATTACAACAATTAATAAACATATAACTATCATATACATTCTATAAGAAAAATTAAAACTAGATGTTTTATCTCCTATATAATATTTTGTTAAAAATCAGTTAATATTTATTTGTCACAATTATTAGTACAACATTTTGACAATCTGTACATTATTTGTTGATCACATGTATATCAATGAATATTTTGATACTAAAATAATTAACATTTTGTTATATAATACTGAACAGAATTAGAATATTGGAACATTTATTTTTTCAGGTGAATATTTCGATTTTGATTCATCTGGTCAGCACCATTCAAAATCAATTATGGCTGATCAATTATGTGGGGAATGGTATTTGAAATGTTGTGGTGTAAACGAAGAGGTAATGTATTGTACAAGATTTTTCCATTTAATGTGTACATTTTTATCAAATAATTATGTTTTTATTTTTAGGTACTTCCAGTCGATAGAGTCAGAAAGGCTCTTCAGACAATTTACAAGATGAATGTGCTTGGGTTCAACAATGGAAAAATGGGAGCTGTGAATGGCATGATGCCTGATGGAAATCTAGACACGTTTTCTGTGCAAAGTGAAGAAGTTTGGACAGGAGTTACATATGCCTTGTCCTCTCTAATGATCTCCCACGTTAGTTTTATATTGTGAATTATAATATTACAATGAAGTATATTATGTTAATAATCAATATTTGTTCATAGGGTTTGCGCGAAGAAGGTTTTAACACGGCTAAGGGTATTTATAATACTGTTTATTATAATATTGGCATGGCGTACCAAACACCAGAAGCAATTTATTCTAAAAATGCGTATCGCTCTGTTGGTTATATGAGACCACTGAGTATATGGTCTATTCAAGTTGCACTGGATAATTTAAACAAAGACTAACTACTAAGATAGTATTACATTTACGTTCAATTTTATATTATGAGATAAAAGTAAAAATATTTTTTAAATATATAGCAAAATATGTATTACGTATGCAAATATGACTATGACTAAATTTATTGAGGATAATACTGCAGAGTTTTTACACATATTTAAGTTGCATGATTGATTATTAGAGACAATTGCATTAAATTGTGCTTCAATTGGTTCCCATGGACATGTTCGGCAATCATCTTTACCCATCGGTATGCCATGTTCGTTGAGCAAAATCATTGCTTTATTTCCGTCCCTACATTTGTAGAACACTGCTATTACATTTGATGCAAATGGATCTATGAATGATGTCCTCCATTTTCTAGTTTTCATCTGTTCAAAGTTTGTACTCAGTAATGGAGTATTATCTTTTCCGATGCCCAACCTGGCAACTACGCTTAAAACGTTGGGTGAGTGTCCAAAGTAAAATATTCCTAATGGTCCTTGTTTTCCTCTAGCAAGGTTCCTATACAATTAATAAGGTATTTTGTTATTACATTATTATTTTTAATGTTAATGTTTGTGTTGTATTTAGCATAAGATAATATAATTTAAGTTAGGGTATGGGTATATTGCTATTTTTTCAGAGCATAAACATTACTGACTAAACTTAGTTGTATATTTTGTTACATATTACATAAATGTTTTGTTGATTCATTCTAAAATTCTAAAAATGCTTATGTTTGATTCAAGTAGAAACATACCTGTCCCCTATAAGATGTAAATCTTATGCTTAATTCAACAGTTGTGTTATTAATTTATTATTAAACAACAATCCAATATGCTCATACTTGAAGTTGTCTATCAAGTCCTTCACAATAGGGCATCCCATGCTTTCTCCAATGGGATTTCCATAACCATTATCATAGTAATATTTGAGATCATCTATGTATTCAAGGATCTTAAGAAAAAAAAACAAACATTATTGTCAACAAATTCAAGATAGTGGTGACAAGTGACATTATAACATATATATTATTATTTATTTTATAATATAATAAGTTCTTTAGACTGTGAAATGAAACAAAACAGTTAAGTCTAAAATCCATTATAATTTAAGTGTTAATCAAATAAATGTAAGTCAAAATTTTAACATCCAACTACCCGAGTTGCAAGAGCAGTGGTTGACAACATTTTGAACTCTGGGGTCGCATTCAAAATTTAAAAAATTTATCGGGCCGTGTTTGATAAAAATTAAAATCTTTTAGTCTTATTTAAATAAAATAATGGCCGTTTACCGACTACTGCTACAGTTCTAGAGCGCTTTCAAATTACAATTATTATATAATTTCAAATTTTAGAAGAGTAGTGATAAACTGATAACTGATAATTAGTGAGAAATCATTGGATATCATTCTGGTAGTAATGTTATACTCATAGATGAACGTTCTGTGGATTTGTTAAAGCTTACGTAAAGTATGTAAGGACTAGGTTGACTAGGTCTCCGGTCGGATTATAAGTTATAACTCTATCCATGTGTAAAGTAATGAATGTATTTAATAATATTTAAAATGACTGAATCACGGCTGTCTTAGATTTATAGTAGGGATCATACTATTATCATTGATTATAAATGTTAATAATATTTATAAATTTAATGGTTTTATCTACTATACAGCCGTGTACTGAATTATTCTAAAATATAATATTTGTCGGCCTTAAATTGCCTATACAGAGCGCCGTCCTAAATTCATCCTTATTTTGATCATACTGACAATAAAAATATAATAGGTAATTTCTGGTCTAGCGTGCGACCTACCAATATCGATATGCATAATGTTTAGGGGATGGGTTTTTACTGTTTTTAGTATAAATAGAATTAATGTTTTCAACATATGTTCATAGAAATTGTAAGTGATGAATGATTTGGTCAGTTGGGTATATTTTTACCATAAGTTTTGTTAATAAATATATTTGTAAAAAACGTATATGCCATATTTCTTATAATTATTATAATAATAGTATAATATGTAACCAATGACAACCATTTAGATAAAACAAAAAAAAGCATTTTCCGTAAGTTGAAAAAATATCTCGCACAAGTTATTCTTTAGCTACCTACGGGAGCTTAAAAAAAAACTATAAACCCCCTACAATCCTCAAGGATTCTAATGATACAACTTTTATTGAAAAGGGTCCACTAATTTCGAACCAGTACATACAATTTTAGCTGTATAACTTGGCCCTTGAATAAACGAAACATTTTAAATATAGCACTATATAGTGGTAGATGTATCTTGGTTTTGATGTACCTCAGTTCACGGGCGTACCTCGTTTTGTGAACTAACGAGACCGAGATGGACAATTCGCCTGTGGATATATCATTAATTGATATATAAATTGAACGTGGTACATAAATTGCCCTCTAGACTTTCCTGATATCTCCAAGAACAAATGAAAAACTTTCCAAAATCTGTCAAGTGGTTTTTGATAAAGTTTAGTCACTTCTGGACTATATTCAAATACACAAACAATTGAAGGTTGTAGATAACTCTAAAAAATACATAGGTATATATGTATCAGTGTAGAAGTAAAAAAATAACTTTGGTCGGTCGCACAATAGACTGGTATACAATAATGATATTGTGCACTACACAGATGACACCTCATAATAATTAATAATTTTATATTGCAGACTTACTTCGAAATCGCTCTGCGTGAACACGGCACACCATGCTGGTCGCGACTGTATGTACCAAGCTTTCTCGTACTTGCACGATTCCAACATCAGCGAAACATTTTCTTAAAAGAAAAAAAAACAATTATACTTACCTATACAATTGTATTCACCATTAATATTATTTAAGGGACTACACAAACATGGCGGTGCCATTTTTATTAGGGTCAAGCTCTAGGAAGTTACCATACAATTCAAACCTTATAGTGCTTTCACAAGAATTTAATATGAATATGAGAAATTAGGAATGTGGCTGGTACCCACATATATTTGTATAAATATTTATGGCTAAAAAACCATAACATAATAAATTAAACGAATTTTACGATTATTAAGTGACTAATTAATTACTAATTAGAGCTAGTGCTAAACTGCTAACTGTCAGTCCAATAGAAGTTTTACTACGAATACTTATGTATTCGTTCCCATGACAAATTCAATTCAATTGTTAATCATTTTAATCCATATCCTAGTACATTGAAGATAATTATTGAAGTTTTAAAAATGTTTCAAAGAAATATTTATCCAAACAAATTCATAAGATTATCAATATAAAAAGTTGATGAAATAAATTTTGTAGATAAAGCATACGATTAAATTTAAATAATGTCATACAAATTAGCTTAGGTATTAATGTATAACTAAGAGCATATTCTACTGTACACTAAGGTAAAACGACGATCGTACCAAAATGTATTACAAGTCGGAACATTTTTACAAGTGTAATACGTTTAGTCTGTAACATACTGCTATATTGAGATCATCATTAAGCGTTCTTTTCAATAAAAACGATCAGTTCAAGTGCACAACTAATTAGTTCTGACTTGTATACATATCATAATAGCACGAAAGTAAACGAATGTCAGGCAACGTTTCATTTAAAATCATTATTGGAACCCCGAATCAAGTACATATACTATGAAATTTGTAGAATCGTGTTTATATAGGTACTTAAATGCGTTTACATGAGTAAAGATCGGATTTTTCATAAAATTGCATGTTGCTATTTTCAACATCATATATATATGCAGTCAATGAGTGTCCACAGATCGTTACTTGATTGATTAAGTATCAAAATTGTATAGTGCATATTTTTTGCATATTCTGACGTTTGTGCATGTTTTGCATATTTTTTCATATTTTAACAAAAAAACCGTACAAATATACACCTAACGATCTAAAAAGGTGTTGAGGAAAAATAAAAATAGATTATAGGCACGTTTATACATATTAATATCAAATAGTTTAAATCTCAAAGAATATTCGGACTCTAAAAATAGGTTAGGTTATTGTTTTTTTTCAATTAACATACTACATTAAATTGTTCGTACTTTTTTCCTATTTATATCAGTATATCACTAATGTATCTACTATTTAATTTTAATAAAATATTTTTTAGAATGTATCAATGATTAAAAATTAAATTACAATTTAACACATTACATTATTGTATTACACATTTGTTATATTATACATCCTACTTTTTGCTTATGAAAATTTTAATAAAACTAATAAATAATAATCACTGTAAAATTAAAATCAAATATAAAATGTAATAAAAATTGAAATTTTTTATTGCATCTTTTTCTTGCATATTTTGAATTTTTTTAGTGCATGTTTGCATACATATTTTAAAATTTAAAATGCATACAAATCCGGCCTTTACACATGAGTAATGTCTAACTGTTATGTCTAGTGTGGGAACTTAGGTACACTCGTGACTCGTCCCGTATAATATTATAATACACCATTGGTCTTGCTCAAATAATAAATAATTCTTTCCTACTACAGGCACATTTCCAACAATATTATATTAAACTCGCCACTTGGCCACCCGGGTACGTAAATAAAATATTAAGTTTGCTGGTATTTGATATTTTTTGTGTGATAACCCTTACGCGGAAATGTTAATGAAAGTATAAAAACAAATAACAATGTTCGAGCTGGTCTACTTATTATTTGCACACTATTGCGTCCTGATATATCGCGTCAATCGGCATACTATACAGGACACATATACCGTATGAAAACCAAATAAATAAACCCTATATATATTTTTGTTGCCAACAGTTAACACTTGTACACCTACCTGGTCACCTATAATTGCTGAAGAGTTCAACGCCCTGCAAATAAACAAAGTACATACGAATATACGTCATGGACAATAGTACTTTTGTTTTCAATAAACGTTGATAGCAGTTGACCCGCTGCAGACAAGTATTCGTTAATATAATATTGTGCTGACCGAACTGTCATGATAAATCATCATTGTTTAAGAATGTAAAATGGTTTTTTATTTTAGTTTTCGAAACGTTTTAGCGTTTTGGCGCGACGAACACGATGATCGCTACAGCTGGTTTTTTGACAGAATGTGTTTGTATTGCAAACTTATTTATCGTATTTTGTACATTCAAATGATCAATTCGATGTCTAAAATGTATTTGTTGTGTATATTATAATATAATATAACTAAATCGATACTTTATAGTATATAATATAGTCAAGGAGACTGAGAAGAACCTTCTCTTTGCACTATGGTACATCTTCCGTGGTATTTATAGTACCTATTGACTAAGTCAAAGTAATAACTGCATTGCATGACGTGTAACGGGTTCCTACTCAAATATTAACTATGTACTTATATCCGTATGCGTGTATTTATTTTGAATGTATATATTAGTGATTGCAAATACTATTAATGACAGATAATTTATACCTATAATAAGAACAGTAAGCAAGGAGAAGCTTTACGAGCTTAAAACTAAGTAAAGTTTTTTGTTCGTCTTTAAATATGCTGTGTACAATTTCTCTTGCAATTTAAATATTTCACTTAAATTAAAACTTCATAGTTATAATTTTGATTATACATTTTATAGACAGTTTCCTATCAAATTAATGCGAAAAGTTAACTATTGTATATAATTTAATGATAATCAAAAGTAATTTAACTCATAATATTTATTAAAAAACGAAAATGTTGCTTTAACCTTCAGTAATTATTTTTTGGTAAGTTATTAATGTTTACAGACTATGAGCCCTTTTCCTTAAATCCGTCACTCAGTACCTACTCCACTCCATTAATATTTGACGAGTCGCTGTTAATATAATAAACGGCCAAGTTCTTATGCTAATTGAAAAATGTTTGTTTGAACCGGTGTGCGTTATTTATTATTGTACATTGTACATACAACTGAAGGGTTAAGTCGAATACAATTAGTAATTAATAAATGGCTATTAAAAACAATACTATGCTTACATGGATCTGCGTGTCCGGGAAGGGGAGTTAGCACATTATAACCATTATTGCAGTTAATCAAATAATTAATCGAACGAATCCGTTCAATTATATTCGTTTAATTAATCCAATGACCTCGTGTCGTGGAGATATGTAGATAATTACGGTGATTATTCGGTGGGCGGCGAGTACTGCAGTAGGCACCCATTACTCAAAAATGAAAACACGTGATATTAGGCACCAACATAAATAAAAATTAATGTTTCTTTGATTGTCTGTCCTGTTTATACTCAAAAGATGAAAACTGCTGGATTGTTTTCAATAAAAGCTATATCAATAGAGTCCTCGCTACTCAGAGGGTGTTTATGAGTGGCATGCTCAGGAAATTTCAATGAAGGGGGGGATGTTATAACTAATTACATTTAAATGAATTGTGGTGATTAATACTGGTAATTCCAAAGACACAAACAATGGTATTCATCGGACTTCTACCCCCCTGGGAACGCAACGGGAGTTTATTAGTACAACACGATTGATCATTTGTGTTTATAGCTTATTTGATCAACCCCTATAGGTTGCTAAAGCAATGATCACGTATGAATTTAGTTTTGTGACACGAAAAATCGAATATTTTATTTTTTTATGTTTGTTTATTTAAATGGTTGCCATTATTGTTACAGATTATATTATTACTACAACAATTTGAAGAAATACGGCGTATAAAAGTCTCTATGAATATGTATAAAAAAATAAAAAAATAGGTACTTTTGAACACAATTACAACGATGACTTTTACTGTATGAGGTGTATGCATAGACATAATATTATATGGCTCTATATTATGTCTATGTGTAAATATAATATATTTCAACTGAAACAAAACAGAAATCGATAGAAAGATCAATTAATTTTAACCTGGGCGAAGTCGAGTAATACACACATACTATTATATTTGCAATCATGTGCCGGCAGAGGCGTGGAAATATAACGTTATGTACACATCATAAATACAACACACTGTTGAACGATTTTCGAAAACTCTGCACCGGGGTCGGTAGCCTTTTTATGTGTATACATTGTCAGTTGTGAAGGTAGGCACTGGTATAAATATGTGAAATACAATACGAACCATAATATATTATAATATGTTGTAATTATTATTATTATTTGTCGTCATTAACGACGAACGAAGACAACGGAAAATCTATACTTAATTATAATATATTATAATAGAATAATGGATATTGGGTACTAATAAGTAGCAGGTGGGTTAAATATTTACGCATACATAATATTATTATATATACAGTTATGCGGTTGAATGAGTTTCCAGCCGCGTGTTTAGTACTTAATAATAATTAATAATTGTAAAAAAAGAAAAAGCGTAATGCCGTATCTATTATTACTATTTTCGCACAAGCCTGAAATATTGACCTCTCGTTGACAAAATATACTCACCATAACTGAGGTTTTGTTTAAGGCCCATCGCCATAGATACCCTGGACACAACGGACCGCACCAGTGGGCCGTCCTCGAACTTTTTCACTTCTCCTTGTCCCTTTGTGTCGTCGTCGTCGTCTTCCACCTGCTTGCACTTGTACAGCTATTACACAATTATTTTATTATTTAATAAACATTCCTAATTCATCATCATTATAGTGTGCTTGCCGAAATTAAATTATAATAAGATATAATTATAGGCATTCTCACTAATCTATTTTTAAATTGTTTACTATTAATCATTTATATGCGTGCTTGACACACGCCACACACTATAATAGTAGCTGCATAAAAGTTAATGAAATAGTTAATAAATATTTCATATTTGTATGCGAATTATAAGTTATAATAAAAACACAAGTAGAATACACACGGAGCCTTGCTTTTCCACCACCATGTGATGTACCCTTTGAGTGTAATAATTCACTGGATTAAGAGAGGAAGACGTGGGGTATAACAATTATAATGATATGGAAATTGAAGTGTATTGCAATGATATAAATAATTGTAACATATATGGTATCAGGTCGATGTTAAAGGCTTTTTTTTAATTTGGCCAAATTAGCAAATGTTTTTGAAGCTAAAATAGGATTTCAAAGTTCTGAAAACTCGTTTTTAATCATTTCTAAATTATTCGAAAAGTATTAAGGGCTTAGAGATATTCCAATAGCACAATAGCCAATAGGGTGTCCTACAGGAATGCGGCAAGCGCGGCTGAACAGCGTGATCAAAATACAAAATGCCCAATTGTCCACTATACTTAAAATAGATTCTTACTGAAATATTATTTTAGAACTTACACATTCTAATTTCTAAATAATGTTCAACAAATATTTTCAAATATATTATTTTATACGCAAAACATTTTTCCACTGAAAAATAATTACACCCCGAACTGAAAGAAATATGCGCAGCAGCCGTAAATAAATGACTCTGCGATTACTACTTTGTAGGTGCATACAGAATATTATATACACAATTCGAAATAGTAGAAATAATTAGCAAATACCTATACCTATCGTTACAAATTTACAATTTTGTTCTCAATTTTACTTACAACTTTTTTTACTCCAAAGTGAACGTTTAACACTCATATTTCTTTCCAAACATTTTCAATACGTACGTACTTAATCAATGACCTATACATAACTTTTATATTGAGGGGGGAGGCTCAGTCGTTCAGATCTATGAGAAGAAACCTATTACCTATGTACGAAAAAAGGGTATATGGACAACGGGCATTTCAATCCGGGTATTTCACTAATATGCATTTTTTCACTTTAGTATTTGGGTAAATAGTCTCCCGAAGTCCAGAACGTTCATAATTTTTATACAAATTGCCTCCCAAAGTCTTGACTAGAGACGAGTTGCCTCTCGACGCACCCCTAATAAACCGTAAACGAAAAGGGTCTATAAGGGTACTATAGTACTTAGTTGCCTCCTAATAGCTAGGTTAGGTTATGTGGTTCCTACACAATTCATACATTTTCAAACGTTATTATTTATCAAAATTCATTAATAAATTTAAAGTTATAATTTATTACTTCACATTTTCAGACTATTTAGTTAATACATTTATATCAAAGGATTCCTTTTTAGAATGAGAACTCGCGGTCATAAAATAGATTCTATAACATTCAGAGCTATTAAGTTCTAAGTGTAAACTCATACACGAATATAAATTAGAAATAAAATAGTGATTTCACTGGTACTCAAACAAAAAAGTTGAATGGAAATAAAATATCAAATTTTAATCACATTTAAATATATTGATTTGTATATAAGCCTATGAGCAATAGTTAAACAAACAACAATCAAAAAATAATAAAAATAATAATAGTAACTTAAAAGTTACAAGACAATATTTTTTTACCTATTATATTAGCCTTATTATACTAACCTAAAAATTGTTCAATAAAATGTTTTTTATTCACTTATTATATTATCAAATGTTTTTACTGACAAACTATATTGTAATTTTTAACAGTTGTGTATTATTTGTACACATGTTTCATGCATATACCTAAGACTGGTGTTTTTTAATAGTAGTATATATTTCTAAAAATCCAAAAAAATGATTGAAAATTATATTATTCATAATAATTTTAGTATGATATTCTTCCTATAGTCCTAAAATAAAATAAATGTTTACTATAATAAAACTTAATAATGTCTATATGTATAGTGTATAGTGTATACCTATAAGAGTACTTATAAGACTAATGTTTATCATTATGACGTTATTGTGTTTTATTATAGGAATAATAATAATATTCAGATGTCGGGTATTATAATCTATTTTATATTTTATCAGTAGATATATGATCTTAATTACATTTAAGTGCATGGTACATTGATGATCTATTGTTTAGTTATATTTGTTGGATTTCAGCTTATGATAAAATTGTACCAGTATGTAAAAGATTCAGTTACATTGTTGGTTTTACAATTTATGTGAAGGAATAAATGTCCGTTATCGGAGGTGAAATACCCAAAATGTGAGAGGGAAAAATGTCATAGATTCAAAACAAGCCGTTTTTAGTTTGCTTATACTGACTGTCATAAAAAAAAATATTTTACCTATGCAAAAATATTTTTTGGTAGTTCAACCCCTCAAAATAAAAAAAAACAACATAAAATCAGCACAATAAAGTAAAAATCTAGAAAAAATGCAGCCAGAAAATTAATTGTTTACAATTGAATACAATTTATTGTATTCAGCCTAAAAACATAATACATATGTATAATGTATGTTAAAAAGAAAATCAATTGGGGTACAGACCCGATAACTTACGCTCCTGTACAGTGGTAGATTTAGGTGTTCAATTGATCAAGTTGGTAAATCCATAAGAGGGTTCTCATACATTATGTGACAGTAAGTATAGTAACATATTTACGAAATTCATGGTAAATAATATGTGTGCAATGTGTGCAGGGTGCTATATAAAATCAATTAAATTTTTTGAGGTAAAAATTTAAAAAAAATTCACCACTGCCCTGTACCCCTAATCTATATTATACTACATAGCTAATCTCTGTATTCTTATCACCAGTCCCCTTCACTGCTGTATTGATTCTAATATTAATAAGCAGTATTGTTATACAATTATTGCAGATCATCTCGTAGAATCTACTTACGTAGAATCTATCATCGGATGTTTTGACGATCGGTAATTCGTTTTCGGGGTTTCGGTTGAACACTGATTGGTAAAACACAGTGGCGCTGTCTTTGGCACGTTGTTTATGTGAAGTCAGAAACTGAAAAAATAAAACGGTCGAATCACTTAATATATTACACATAATGACATAATAACATGATAATTCATTCAAAAGTGAAAAGAAGTATAGTCAAACTATAACTGTAAAAATGTAAAGCTCTCTCGTTGTGATAATGTGACATAAATAATTGACTATTACGTATTGAGTATCGGAGGGACTCGCGTTAAATGAATCATTCCGTACAGATTTACAGTAAGTTATTACAGTATACTAAATAATTGAAAATACTGAACTACCTATTTCTCTGTGTGATTATAGGTGTTTATTAATGACTAGGTAGTGTAATCGTTTTTTTAAACAATATTTTTTTGTTAATTTTGTGAATAACAAGAAAATTCAGAACACCACAAAGTACATGGTTACACGGAATATGGAAACAGTGTAATAGTATAGAATATAGGTACATACTTAGCTTGATTTTCATTTATCGTAAACCAGAAGGTATTTTACTACTCTATTCAAGTATTATTTGTTGAAGCTTTCTCAATGTATGGATACTACTTTAAAGTTAAATTTATTATTTATTTGGGTCGCTACACGTACTTTGAAGTTAGCTTCAGTGTATGGGTTGTTGAATATCTGTGGGAATTGTCTTTTAAGCCGAAAGGCCAGCGACCTGAGTTCCTCGACACCCTGTCTCTGCAGCATATAATGGTCGTCTTTGGTCAGATTTGTATTCCAGTTCTTGATGGCCACGATATCCTCTGGGCACATGGTCGATTCGGCTGTTATCATTGTCTTAAGCTCGTTCAACTTCTTAAGTTCCTCGATCTTTTTTCGAGACGGATATCGCGTACCGTGCCTGGATACCAGCCACACTTGCAACGGTCGACAGTCTGTAATCAAGTTTATGATAGCGGTGAACATAATAAAATATTAATAATATTTTTGTTTTCTATTCTGATGATAACTGTAATATTTTTAAGTGTTTTATCTTTCAATATCATGAAGATCAAAGAAGAGCTACTTTAAGTGGATATAACGTTTAAAAAATTTGATAGAAGAACAATCACCGAACTATTTATTTAAGGGGTGAGGAACCATGCATAATTTAGTATGTAATACAACAACTTAAAAATAAGAAAAAGGAAAAAAATTATGGTCCACATTTGGGTTTATCATTAACCTTTTAAGTGGTTCGTTAGCTAAGTAATTTGTTTTGGCATGAGGGACATAAAAGGGAGTGGTAATGTATAGCGAACACCGAGGTATACCTTAATGTGTAATATTAGCAGAACTAGTTCAATGGATTAAACTTAACCGTTTAGCAGTCCTTTAATAAATCTAATAACTAGTAGTTCGTTTTTGCTCAGCCAACGAAGAAAGACCAAGCATTATTTCCACTGTCTAGTGAGTGTAGTCATGAGGTGGACATAGAATTTTTAAAACATAAGTAGCAAAACGTAAAAACTTATTCTGTACTCGTTTAACTTGCTTCACATAACTAGCAGTATGAGGATCCCAAAAAATATACCTATACTCAAAAATGGGGCGGGCAAGGGCACAATATTGTACTTTGATAGACTCACTTATATTTAGTTCATTAGCCAACCTAATAATAAAACTTAACGATTTAAAATCCTTGCAGCACATATATTCAATGAGTTTCTTAGGCTTAGGGTGGAGGTAAACTTAAAACCAAGATCTAAAATACTATTAGTCACTCGAAGAATATTTAATGCATTAAATGTGTAGGTTCGAAAAATCACCGGAGATTAAATTTTGGCAAATGCAATGGTTATGTTATTTATGTACGAGATCGCTCAGGGCAATAATTTATGCAAAATACAAATATATTATGTACTAGTAAAACATCATACAAATGAAGCACAATCGAAAAGCATTATTATTATGGTTTTATGTGTCTAGTCATTTTTTACCAGTTTGTCAGACAAGTATAAATTAGTTATAATTGACGAGTGATGAATTTATGCGCAGTTGTTTATGCACAGTGGTCGGTATGAATACAAATTGCTAAACATATATTCCCAATTCCTCATTATCATTATTATTTCATAAAGGTGCAGTGTACCTATAGAGTTAACAAGGATATGTATATACATTTTAGTCAACAATAACTAATTGTTCTAGTGAATTTCTTAGGAAAACATAGGTAAATAATAGAAAGTAATGAAACATAAATACTAAATATATTCGTGGAAAAATATTCGTCATATTATATTGTCATAAAGTATAATGTGTAGATAATTATTAGGAACATTTTAATTTGATAACATAGTAAAGACTAACATATTATTAAATCCGTGAAGGAGTGATAATATTGGGCATTTAATACAAAATGTTGATTATTTTTAAATTAATCAGAATTGAAAAATAATAAGAATTATAAAATATTATTTATTAGATTTTAATGTTAAAATTTTAAATCATAAAATTTTGGAGATCGCCGTCTCTAATTAAGTTAGGTACATTGTATGCATTTTACAAGGTTGTTGTATTTTTTCATTTTGGGAAAAACAATTACTATATTTAGTTAAAACATTTTTAAATAGTTATTTGTTTTTTTTTAATTATTTGTAAAATAAGTTCTATACTTCAGTAGCTAAACAATAATGTGATGTTTATCCAACATAATTATGCATAGTACCTATATAACTGTATTGATAACTAATAAGAAATAACCTACAGGATACAATACTGTGAATATTATTGCTGTTGAATAGAACGAGGTTGTGCAAAATTAATGTTTTTTGAAAAATTGAAAATAATCATAGGTATATAATAACATGGTATAAATAACTCTTTGCAAATTTAACGTCTGTTGTCATACGTATTTACGTATATAATTGTATTATGAAATGTAGCCATGAAGGAACCTATTATTTCATTGTTTTTCAATACAACTATAAAAATATGTGTCTCGTACAGTCTCACGTAATATTTTTTATTTATAGATTTCAATCGTCACTCGTCAGATTGTCCAAGTAAATGTTAAATATAAGAATTGGAATATTTGAAGAAATTATGCGGTATGTACTCAAAACACTGATATGAAAGTATTTTATTTCGAGTCTTCAAACAAATAAAACGTTTTCACGTACCTACCTATCGATGTGCATAAGACTAGTATATATATTAAAATATGATATATGTTAAATTTGTCATAAAATAGAATAACACTAATTTTGTTTATTTATACAATTCGTCCGACTAATAACCATTAGGTAATAGTTAAACATGTTTAATAATAATATGGAGATATTGAAAAACTCAAAATATGTGTCAACATTTAACAATGGTTGGTAAATAAGCTATATATTATAGCTGGGTGACATATTGGTCTTGATGGGTACATAATATGCACCATAGAGACATAATTTCTACATAGATATTATGTTATAAATTTAACATTTATATTTTTAATTTGATATACAGCCCATGCATACAGCAAGAATGCACATAAATATTTATACGGGGTGATTCACCAAGCATGCTCACCCCCCTTTTCTCCAATAATGCAGTTATTCAAAACCTAATTTTTTTAATTTTTTAATATACTTGAATATCATATTTTCAAATTCTTGTGATTTTTTGTACTAATTAAGGAGTGTTATGTGGGGATACAAACTTCTGTTTTTCAAATGAGAACACTTCTATACAACTATAAATTATACAGTAGACATTTTTGACGTATCAAAATCAAAATTCGTACTTTTAGTAGTACTTTTAGTAGTTTTTGAGTTCTTTAACTTTGAGTTCTAAGTATAAAACATCCATGGTAATGAGTTTATAAGATATGGGGGCGATGGTGACTTGAAAATAGTAGCCATTAATATTAATCCATCGATATAAATAATTTTTAAAAATGGCCCAAGTACCTATACTAAATACAAAATACTAGATCCAATTTTACTTCTATTTTATACTTATGTAAAACCAGTTTTGAGGACTATGATTCTTAATACAAATATTTTAATAACTAAGAATCTGCTCATTCGAATTTTGAATGTGGTACATCAAACTTTTCAAAAAAATTATTTACTAATCAATTTACAGTAAAAGAGGGGGTTCTCATTTGAAAAACAGAAGCTTGTATCACCATAGGACACTCCTTAAGTAGTTAAAAAAAAATTCAAGAATTTAAAAATATGGTATTTGAGTATGTTTAAAAATTCAAAAATTCAGAATATGAATAAATTCATTATTAAAGGAAAAAATGGAGGTGATCATACTTGATGAATCACCCTGTATACAATATTCTTCAGTTCGCTCTGAATTCAAAATAGTGCTTTAATAAGAACATGTAATAGATATTATGTGTTTATAGTACTTAAGATTCTTGTGACATAAATAGTAGTTTATTCTTATAAATTATAAAGCTTTACAACTTAAATATTCTCTTCATAATATGACATAATCCAATATTATAAATATAATGTCTTAAAATAATGAATTTAACTATTATGTAAATATATATTCTGTATACCTAGATCATCAATTTCAAAAATCACCTCAGCTATTTTTACTGTTATTTCAGGTAGCTCCCAGGTTGGAAAAGAGGAGATGAAGAGACGAAGCTACCCAAATAAGCTTTAATATTCCATTTTGGGAAAAAATTGTATACCCAACTCAGTGAGTAACGAAAAATGGAATATATATGTAGGTACCTACCCTACATTGATGAATTTTAAATTAGATTACCGTCTACCAGAATATTTGTAACCTTTATTTTTCTTTTACTTATTGACTTATTGGTGTAAAATTAGGTACCTGTGTATATTAAAAATTATGAAGCCTTATACTCTAGCCACTTTAAGATAATGTCATACAACCATTTTAACAATAACATTTTTTCACTACAATTGTAGGATTTAAATTGCAGTGATTTTTCGTACAAAACTAATCAAAAAATGAAACTTTCGAAAAAATAAAAATTTAAAATATATTTTCTCCCTCCGGAGACTATTGCCTGAAACAATAACACTGTCGTCTCCTATTGCGCACGTCTTTCCCATCGGTCGAGTGTACCAGAGTGATCAAACACGAACGCCTTTGAAATTGATAATTATAAACGGCCAACAACGGTATATTATTTATGTTTAGCCGGTCAAAAAAGAACCATATAAAATGGCCCTTGGGTGACCGGGAAAAGTCCTGTTGGAATAAAAAGTCCTGGTATATACACACACCTGGCGGAGTCTGCAAGTCGTTGCCGGCCACCGCACCGTAAGTGGTCTTTGTGCCGAAGTACACGTACGGGTTTTGGACGGTCCGGTAGCACACGCGGCCGTAGTCCGTCTGCTGCCTGAGCGACGTCGGTGGCCAGGCCGGAAGTGCGGCCGTGGACGCGGCCATCGCCGAGAACAGCAGCGACAACGCAAACACACGTCCCGTGACCAGCATTGTCGCGACACTGAGCGGCAAACGCCGAGGCCGACGCCATAGACATTGCGATCCGCAACCATCGAAACCGCCGCCGCCGCCGCCGCTGTTGCACCGCTGCACTGGCAGTTTAACGCTGGTTGGCGGGGGAGAGGGGATGCGATAGGCGGTTTTTTTTTTTACAGTTCAAATGCATTTCTGATGTAGATAAATGGCTCGCATTATATGATAGCTATGAGTTAAAATAGCTAATAATTAACATAGATTTGGTCAAAACATACATAAAATATAATATAGACCTTTGGTAATAATACTTCAACAGAAATATTATAAGTACAATAGATTTTAAAATATTACCTGTAAAACGTTCACACCCGGGCCAAGTGTCCAACAACATTCGACCATTACAACTGTATAGTTAACAGTACTTATAACATTATCCGGTTCTAGCGATGTACTTTCTATTCATCTTTTGTTTCTCAGCACCAAATGTATAAAATTTAAACATCCGATCCAAGTTTATTTTAAGCGGAACTTACGTCAGCTTGTGAAAAAAAGTTAAACTATTGTAAAGATAAATGCCTATCATAAACACATCAAATATAAACCTAAAATATTTTCATTGGCCAAAAACTAAATTTCACTCTATTTTCCATCCATATATTTTATGACCAGAATATTCGTAGTGCAAATAGTAAATTGAAATATTCCATCATCAAATTTGTTGTAGGTAGATATTTACGTATACCTATATGATCTGGTTAATGAATTTAGTTATTTTGTTGTAATTTAAAAATATTATTCGTGGGTGCTTAGAACTTTGAAAGTATATTATCATATTTAAAAACACAATTTAAAATGCAATTGTTTCAGCAAAAATTAATTTAACCCGCTGATGCACTAATTGTCTAATGGTAAAATAAATTACTTTAATAGCAATAGCATAAAATATACTTAGTTATATAGGCAGACAGACCATCTGCTCTAAAATCGCTTTTCTTATAAAGTAATTTTATATTATTGAATACAAATTTAACACATCCATTATAACAGTGACCTATAATGGTTAATGCACAGAAGAGCGTTACTCACTTTTTTTTATTTTTCGCCTCCCAAAGTACCAATTACAATACTGCATTCACTTTACACTTTTACAGTTTACTACCAAAAAATATGTTTAAGTAGAAAATCAAACCATTTTTACTCTCTCAAAAGGTGATGACGGACAAAAAAAACACAAGCATCATTGTAAAATAATTAATATATTCATTGTTTCGTCAGAATTTAAAACCTATTATTTAAATAATATTAATTATTAGGTGAATAAAAGAACGCGCTACACTGCCACATGGCATCTACATTGTCCAGTCAGCATACGAGATTTTATAATACCTGCAGATCAGCATAAATGTTTATCTAATGGATTACAAATCACAATTTCTACTTCATAGTTCTGGTGTACAGTATGATAAATTATTTATAATTATAGTATCAATTAATGACTGGACTTCGTGCACTACGGCCACTATCTAATGTCAATGTGATGGCATGTGGATAGAACTTTTAAATTAACACTGCTTTCAAGCAATTGTACGGCATACTTACATGCAGAATTAGGATGTAGTACTCTATATGTATAGTGGTGAGTGCATTTATATTAATGACACGTATAACTGAAGAAGCATATACTAAGTAATATTTTGTATTTAAGTAAAAACAATTACATGAAATAAATTGAAATATTTGATGTATTATTTTATTTTATTTTTTAGATGTTTTTCCTGATTGAATTCATTTTTAACACACGTAATTCAACAAATTTAAATATTGTGTTACATTTGGAATCACCATTTTTTTAATGCATTCACATTTATTTATCTTTCTTATTCAGTAACTGTGAGTTGTTCCACCTCTTCTAATGTTTATGGCGTACAATCCAACAAGAAGATTTACCGACAATATACCCAGCAGAATTATGTTGATGTTGATTTTGACGAAAATGTTTGGTGGTCACCAAAATTAACGCATCATTGTTAAATTAATGCATTCATCGATCTTTTTAGGATCTAAAATTAAACACTATGCACCTAGGTATGTACCTAAGTATATTAATAACAAAATAACTGATGTGAAATAACAAACTACAATAGTGATATTGTCATATTGATATTGAATATATTACATATACATATATACATTAGTACCTACTCATAAAATTTTTTTAAATGTTATGAAGATAATTGAGCTATAATTTTTTTTAGTAGAAAGCTCTACGAATAATAAACAAAATTTAATAAACAAATTAGAAAGAGTATATTCGATGCTGCACACAATCTAGAAGCTGATGAATTATTTTCATTAAACGTACAAGATGGGCTAGATACAATGGGATCAAACATATTTTCGATCAATGTCCATGGACACAAAGTACATCCATACTTCTCAACCATCATTGGAACTTCATTGACAAAAAATGTTACTTTTTTCTCCCCGTGGCATTCGTAAAGTGCGGCCATCACATTTGATGCAAAAGGACTCAAATATGATGATTTCCATTTTCTATCTCGCATATCATTGAAGTTTGAACTTAGCAAAGGTGTTGTGTCTCTGGCAAAACCTAGTCTAACAATTGCACTAAACACGTTCGATGAATGGCCAAAATAAAACACTCCTTTTGGCCCGTGTTGTGTTCGAGATTTATTACTATAAAAATAAAAAATAAAACTCTTGTAACCGATAAATACATAAAAATGCACGGTTAAAACTGTACGGTACACACACCTGAAGTTATTTATGAGATCTTTCACAATCGGACAGCCAAGTCTTTCGTTATATGAGTCGCCATACCCGTTTAAGTAGTAATACTTTAAATCTTCATCGTACTCAAGAACCTATAAACGAGCACAGTAATTAATCACTGAACATCAATTACTTGATTAATCATTGATGTAGGTATTTACTTCTAAATCTTCTTGAGAAAATACGGCACACCAAGCTGGGTGAGAATTTAAGTCCACCGATCTTTCGTATCGACACGAGTTGTACATAGCTTTTATTGTACCTATATAAACACATTACAATAGAAATTAAGTTTTTAAAACCAAATATAATTTATTTTATATGATTTACTTAACGCCAGATTATGATCCAGTCCCAAAATCTTCGATACTCTGGCAATTACGTCTTGTATGTGTATACTACTACGAAATTGTTTTAATTCTTTGTTATCATTTACAATTTGAAATTTAGACACCTAGAAATGGAATAACGAGTATTAATAAGTCTTATTTACTTATATTTAAAATTTAAATAGAATACAGAATTATTCTTTTAATTTAGAAAGTTTAGATTTTACATTAAAGTTACGTTTAATTTTATATCATCGCTGTTTATTAATGGTATATCCGTAACATTCACATTAAAGGCAGATTTTAAAAAGTAAAATGCGCTATCCCGTGATCTTTCTTTTGTCGTTGATAACACCTGTAAATTAACAACATTTTTAACTTATATTTAATAAAAGTATACTAAACGTTAAAAAATAAAATTACGTTATACGTTATAGGATTATAAGGTTCGTCAAATATATCTTTGTATAAACTTTGAAGTCTTAATCCCAAAGATGACAAATCAATAACACCTTGACTATTAAGTTTATTTTGATCTTTTTCAGTCAAATTAAAAACCCATGTTTTGATCGCCTCAAAATCTTCTTTACATAAACTTGAATTATTGGTTATGTTATTTTTATACTCGTTTAAATTTGATATGTTATCTATAGAATCTCTTCCGGGATTTCGAGTTCCATGCCTGGACAATAACCACAATTGCAATGTCTTACAATCTATTCAAAAATTATAATAAATCCATTTTTTAATTATAACATATTTATTGAATAAGTAATAACTTATTATTCAACACAATTATAATTTCATAGAGTATATAAAGGGCGAAAAAGAACATTATTTATAGAATAATAGTATATAGGTATCACTAATATTATCGTTATTATCATATTCATCAGATCAGAAAATTCAATAGTAAGTACCTACCTATTTGAACTATCTTAAAACATTATATTTTTATGAACTGGTATTAATATATTTATTAGAAACACAATAGGATAACTCACGTATTATACTATGATTCTTATGAAAGTTCATGAATTTATAATGCATGGATTATCTTAGATCGTGTGATCAACACACTCTATAACATATACAATTTGGTAGGTGTGGGCACTGCTATAATGCTGTACATTAGGAGTCTAGAGGGGTCCCTGAAACAGATGTATTAAATTTGAAGTCAATGATATAAAATCATTGCATACAAAAAACGATTCTGAATGAAGATGAAACATCAGCCTATAATATTACTACGTATATTTGATGGTATTATTGTAAGTAAAATAATTTATTTTACTAATAGACATAAGTAATATTATAGTAGATTAAATTAATTTATAAAATTAAATAAAATTTAAAAATTCAATTGTGCATACATAATAATATAGATACTTAGTTTAAAGCACCCGTGGGCCACGAATAACATTTTTAAATTACAACAAATTATAACTAAAATCGTTATTCTTCGTTTAATATCTAATTTCATCCAAATTTGTACTTAAAATATCTATAAAACTGTGTTAATATGTTTTAGATTTTTTTGTTACAATATAAACCACTTGAGAAACTTTGTTTTTATTTTCAACCCACATAGTTATAAAAATTGAACACTTTATAAATTACCAACAAAATAATTTGCAAATTTTAGAGATATCGATGAATTTTGTCAAAATTTAAACTTTAAATGATTACAAAAATTGTTTCTCTCAGAATCTAAAATTGGAAGCATATGATATAATATCGGTGAGGCCTAATGGGGGGGGGGGGCTAAGGGAGCTATAGCCCCCCAAGAATTCTGTTAACACTCTTCGGAATTTCGTAAGAAGTTCCGGCAGCGTTGGCGATACCACAAGGAAAACAAGCTATGCCCCCCCCCTCAGCATATAAATTCATTACGCTACGCCTATGATATAATATATAACAGCAATTTTTTTTATAATGGCTAAATATTTATAACTTTTTAAAAATCATGACCCATCACAGTAATTTTAAAAGTATTCAGACTACAAATTTATTTAACTATATAATAATATTTTAATAGATAAGTGAAACTTACTTGGTTGCGTGTAGTTTTGTTTGGCTGACACATAACTGTATGCAGTTTTTGATGCAAAAAATGGATAAGGATGATCGTCTTGATGAAAGCATCTATCTGATTCACATTTAATACAACTAAATATTATTAGTGGCAGAATAGTCACGATAAATCTCATTTTAAGATAATATTTTATTATATGTAAAGGTCTAGAAATAAAAATGAAATTATAAGATACTTTAATAACGTTCAATGTAACTATTATTGTCCGACTAAGAGATGAGACTCTATTTTAATGTTAAAAATCTCATGATATTATACAGAATTGTAAAGTGTTACTCGTACTGTAGTAAAAATATAGTAAACTCTACACCCCCACTGTTTTAAATTAATTGACTCGCGTGGGATATACCTATTATGTATACCCACATACATTGCATTCACAAATAATTGTTGAGTAAATTAATCTATTATTGTTTGCTTTGGTGTTAACTATCGAGTAGGTAATAGATAATATTATTTAATACATATTATTTATTTAAATACTATAACATTATACATTTATACTCTTAGTTATATGCATTAAATTAGTGACATAATAAAAAATGTATTTGGTATACTCGTATACTATAAATAATATTACGACAGCTTTGATATAATGCATTGTGCGTTCGCTAGTATAGATCAAGGTTAGTATAAATATTATTTTTTATCAACCTTGAGTATAGATGCCTACCTACATGGTAAACTCGGAAACCAAAAGTTATTAAAGCCATTTTCACGAGTTTAATCGTTTCCCGACAGAGTGACCCTCGGTCATTATCTAGACAGCAATTAGACATTAGTCTTCTAAAAGTATTATAATAATATTATAATAAATTAAAAATAATATTAGTATAATTTTATAATAATAATTCTCTAATATTATCATTAAAAAATGCTGTACAGTGATCAGTGATCACCATAACTGTTTTTCCGTTAATAAAAATTAATATTTTAAAATTAAAATGTTTAGATATTTGTTGAGAATCAGTGAGTCTATAAATTCATTTAATTCTATAATGATTACGATAACGCGCACCATCATCCATCACACCTCGTTTAGTCTCCATATTATATTGTCAAAATATTACTAGTTAGTAGTTTAGCGTCGAAATTAATATTGTATTAAATTATTAAATTAATGTAAATTAAACAAAAAAGTATAGTACACGTGGCAGCTGGCCACATATGCAATATAAATAACTATTACAAACATCACTAGCTCAAAGTTGAAATACATTAAATTATAAAATAAAAAGTACAACAATAATTTAAGTATATATCAGTGGCGTAGCCAGGGGAGTGGCTGAGGGGGCTGCAGCCCCCCCCCCTCCCGAAATGTTAATAAAATTTAAAAATGATTTTAATGGTCTATGGTATTCGATCAAAAACTAAACCACCGCTGTGTAAAAAATTGATCAGCACAAATGTCTCACAGCTAAAAGGGGTGGTGGGTGGGTGCCGAGTAAGTACCTATAGTGGATAGTCAGTTCTGAAAAATATTGAGTGACACAACGTATTAAATAAATAAATATAGAAATAGTCACATTCATGTAGAGTATAGACATACACATGGTTTATAAATAATGTATAATAATTAATAAGTGTATTGAGAAAAGAATTAATGTTTGGATAATTGTTTTAATTGAAAGTACATTCAATGGTTTATTAATAAAGCAGAATTTATATAATTTTTAAAAGTTATTTTTATTGTAGTACCCGTAACATGAATTTTTAGAAAGGCTAATTTTATATAGAATTATAATAGGGGATCTGGGGGCATAGCCCCCCACGACTCAGTGCAAAATAAAAAGGTGGGTCGTGTGTGCTGCAACTAACATTTTCTTGCCTCACTGTCGAAAAAATTTGCGCCGCCATTGCGGGCGAGGATCACTTTAGCGAAAAACAGAAACCCCATATTCACATATTAGGACCGGTTTATGTCCCCATTGGTTTTTGTGTTGGGACGCATAATATAAGATATTATTACCAGCGGGGAACAGTAACAGCCGAACGTGTTCGACCTTCGACTTAGGCCGTTTCTATCAACTTTGTGGGGAAGACTCCTCCAAGTCGGTAGGAGGTCGTGCTGCTGGTGCAGTGTACCATCCTCGGTATGGCAATAATGTGAACTCGACTAATTCTTCAAGACAACGAGCACAGTTAAGATATGGTTGGATGAAATATTATGTTAATCCTATATTCATCCTGTTTTCATCCTGTGTTAATAATTAAGGTATTTATCCTGACGTGTTATAAATATTTACAAAATATGTTACCTGCTTACTTGCTCATAAGTGCACAGTAATTTTATTCCATGTATATTGTTGATAAAATAAAAATTATACTTATTTACACATCACTTGTTAAATCAATTGACTGGTAAGTATATAATATAAAACAATGCGACTATTCTATAATGATGTACCTAATTATCTAAAATTCAGATTCCCAGTATTTCATCAAATGTTTAAAAAGAGTATGAAAACAAGATTTAGTGTACTCTTGAATCATAATATATATATATATATATATACATATTTGATCTTTTTTTTAAATTGTACTTTATTTTTTCCTTCTAAACACCATGATTAAATTTAATTTGTTATGACCAAACTACTAAAGTACTAAATTAATTACTTTTTAGGAATAAGTATTTTATTTTATTATTACATATTATAAAATTACATAATTTGTTATAAAAATATGTATTTGCAAAAAACAAAATTCTAAATTTCTGATTTATTTTAGATTCTGAGCGGAGCGATGAATGTATTGATTTTGCAATGATGTGTGTTTGAATTTTAAATTTTGTTTTTTTGTGTCTGACATCATGGTTTCGGTCAGTAAAAGTGCTCGATTTTCTTCAACAGCAACTTTTTTTGATAGAAAAAAGAATCTAGTTGGTACATTCGGTAGGTCAAAATTGAACATTTCCAATAGTTTTCAAAAGCAACAAGAAAAACAAACAAAAAATGTTCACACAAAATAAGTTTTCGAAAAAAATGATTTTGGTTTTTGTGTAACTCTAAAAATATGACAGTAGATACTAGATACATACAATTTTTACTGAATGTTTGTGTTCACATTTTCTATACACCATACAATTTTTAAAATATTTTTACTCATGTTGAACTATTTATAGGCATATGAATTGTTCGACTATTATTTCTTTTTTTTTAAACTTATGTCAATAAAAAATTGTTCACTTTGTCAAAATACTTGTAAATGCAATACAAGGTTAATCGTAAGTTGCTGTTACAGCAAATTAAAAAAAAAGTTGAGTGTAAATCCACAATAATTTTTTATGAGCATTTAAACTTAAAATTTAGACAAAATTGGATATTCATACGATTTCTTTTGCAGCGATTTTCTTATTTTGTTGTAATTCAAAAATATTTAATTCATACTGTGGTTACTTGAAATTTACACCAAATGTTTATTTCATCAATTCATATTATACTTGATCAAGTACATGTACTCTACGCGGTACGCCCGAGGCAACAAATTAGTGATATCATCATTAATTAGCTAATCTTTCCACTATGGGGGTCGGGTCTTAAAAACCAAACATGATAAATATCACCCGACTAGTAAAAAAAATATACTTGATAACATTTTCAAAATATTTTGACTCGTTTTAAGCTGTTGACGGACACTAAATTTTATTGGTTGTGTCAAAAAGCATGACAATTTAATACAAGACTCTTAATATATTATTACAATATAGCAGTTGAAAAATATAGATATATGCACGATTTGTTTTTACAAGAATTTAAAATTTAAATGTTGGCACTATTAACCAAGTTGAATATTGAAAATGATTTTGTAGTTAAAAATTTATAAAAATTTCAATTTTTATAGCTATAGGGATTGAAAATTTAACCTAATGCGCAACAGAGCGACTTCCACTTACCTGCTTTTTTTTAACTAAACTATATACATTTTTATCTACAATTTAATATACAGAAATTACAAGCATAAATCATTTGATACATTGTTTGAATTTCGTTCCGTTGTGTAGAGTACATGCTTCGAATCGACCAAAAATTCACGAGTAGTTGCTGTATTTGGTTTTCATTTAAGAGGTTACAGGAAAGTGTAATTTTACTCTATAAATCTTGAATGTTGATTGGAGGATTAGCATACATAACATTTTTCAAGTGTCCTCACAAAAAAATCTAACGGAGTGAGATCAGGTGACCTTGGAGGCCACTCAACTCGGTCCGTGTGTTGCAATACATTTTTCACCAAATCTTACTCTCAATAACTCTTGAGCAATTCGCGCATAAGAGCAGGTGCCCCGTCTTGCTGATAATAGATATTTCTACTTGTAGCTAATGGTAAATAATCAATAAGTAATTGCACAACATTACTCAAAAGATCTTAGTATTTTCTTTCGGTTAAAGTTCCGTCGTAAAAATGGGGCCCTGGTAATTTTCCACCCGCCAAACCAATTCATACGTTAATATTAAAATGATGTACGATATTTTGGCACAGGTAAACAGACGATGCGCAAATGATGTACGGCCGTTTATAACTCAACATGTTTTGAAGTTTGTAGGAACAGCCCAGTGAGAACTTTCATTCGACCAAATTAACGATTGTTTTACTTATTCAATATTCTGCTATTAGTTTAATTTACTTTCATCAGTCTACAAAATATGATTATAATTAATAAGATATTATCCTCATATGTCACCATAAATCAAGAAATAAAATGCAATCTATTTTCTGGGTCTGTTACGCGTAAATGTTAGACAAAATCTGGTTTGTAAGTGTGTAGTTTGTTTTTTTTCTAAACCTTTTAAGCTAAAGTCTTGGACCTGCCAATTTCATGCCCGACGTGTCTAACAAGTAACAGACGAACATGGTTTAAGATGTACATATGCCAAGATCTGATTTTCAATAACGTCATTTAAATTTAGATTTTTGTTGCACAGCATATTTTGTTTTATTGAATGGACTATTTTCTATCAACAACATTTCAAGTTTTTGAACATAGGGGTTATGTTGATGGTACATTGGTACCGATCAGGATATTGCCTTGCGTACATCCTTATAGCTTCTTCGTTCTCGTGCATTTCTGTTACATTTTCCACAGGTTTACAGCAATTGAACTTTTTCATAGTTATTCATAATTCAATTTTTATTACACTAAAGTTTAAACTATAGATAAATTATATTACTTTCTAATATTGATAACCATGAGCAGACAACGTCGAACTAATAAGATCGAAATGACATATGATTCTGATAATGAGTCGCATATAATACTGGAATACTGGATATGAAAATAGATAGTGAAATTTTTATAGGCAGATGAAAAAAATAGAAAAACAATTTCTCACTACAATTTTAATAATAATAATTTTGATGGAATGAAAAATAACACAATTAGAAATAAAATAAATATTTAAATATTTATTAATGTTGATTAATTATTTGAGGCATGCACTTTACATAACGAAGCGACTTTCGAACAACTTATCGAATGATTTCGGTATGCTCCTAGCTAATATCTATAAATATTAAATTGTACATAAAAATGTATAGTTTAGTTAAAAAAAATAAACTATAGAAGTTTAGAATTTTCTGTAAATAAATGTTTTTATAATAAATTATGTAATTGTATAATGTATTAATGTGTTATAATAAAATAAAATACTAATTCATAAAAATTAGTTAATTTATTACTTTAATCATAACAAGTTTGATTTAATCATGGTGTTTAGAAGGGAAGAATACGCACAATTTAAAAAAAAATCAAATTTAGTTTATTTTTTTTAAAAATTATATCTAGCTCTAACTTTGCAAATGTAGGGTTTAGAATACAAGTTGATGCATCAAAATTACTTGAAAAAAAAAAGGACAAATCCAAAAATGATGTTCAAAATAGGGGCTGTCATTAAAAAAACTAAGTTTTGCATTCATGCTCAAAATTTAAGAGTTAAAATATAGTAGGTCATGATCCACTAGTGAAGTTGAATGTCCTGCAAACAGAATTGAAAATTATTTACAGGGTAATGAGTGACAACGTGTCCCTGTTTCCGCGGGCACACTGTATATGATTTGTGGATTTGTCTAGACTCTAAAGAGTCTATTTACTTTCATTATTTTCATAATTTTAAAAAATGTATTATAAACTTACGAAGTAATAATGTTAAGTATAAGAAAAAATATATTGTATATAAAAACAAAAATGTAAACATAAAATATAAATAATATCTCGGTCTATCGACCCTATCATTATACCTAATATATAATTGTTATCGATGTTCGATAATCTGAAAACTAATACATTGATTTCAATTGCACACATTGTAAAATAACAAAATTATTTTCGTAATTCCATTCATCACTATATTACCCCCCAACAGACTCTAAATTCCCCCTGGTGGGGAGGAGACTTCCCCACGGTTGGAAACCGCTGCTCTAGGGCATAGGCTCTCTATATAATATGTCTGTATGGCCCACAGAGTAATCAGCTTAGCCTTAGGCTGGGCACGCGCGGGCGTTATTTTACCTCGCCGTAAAATTACGCCGCGTTTTGTTGAAATACCACTAAAATGAATGGAGCACAATACACGAGTGTCGCGCCGTAAAAATGCCGGGCGATAATGCGATATTTCGAAAACAGTCGAGTGCACCATGACTTTACTGCACGTTAAAAATATCGCATGATCAGAAATCCCAGTCGAATTGCATTATAATGGTAGGTGGAGATCTCACACGCAGTAATAAGATGCACGACCTATTGTTATTTTATTTCAATATTCGTTCAATTTTCTATTAGCAGTCATTAGTTATTAGTATTCACAATAGTGAGAACAGTTAACATGTCGTCAGAGCACTCAGCAGAAGAAGAGTCTGAACTTAAAATTTGACATCTGAAATTGATGTAGAACAGAATAGTCAGTTAGACGCAGAACTAGACATAAAGCTTTTAATTTCGTTTTTCGAAAATAAGCTTGTTTTAAGGGACAAGACGTTCGACAAGTTTTCAGACCGCAATGAAAAACGAAAAGCTTGGAGAGAAATGTTCGGTTTGATAAAGTCAGGATTGAACATCTTCAATTTAAGGACCAGAAATTGATAGGTATATATGATACACTATTAAATCAGTATTAATATTAAAATAATATAAATAAATATGTTTTCCTTTCTTATATATTTTGTCTGTACCTATCAATTATTGAAATTATGAATGTATTTGATCTTACAATTTATTATTATACGTGTAAAACCGCGCCGTAAAATAACGCCCGTGTGTTCCCAGCCTAAGGCTGTGGTCCGTGATCAATACATTGCTCCACTCAAAAGCACGACAAAAGATATTTTCAATTTTGCTAAAGTACTTAGTACATTCAACTATCAACTATACCAAGTTAATCCACCTCGGTTACATCTTTAATCGTGCTCAAAAGTGATGAAAATATAATAGATATATTATGATAGTGTTATCACTCTGATAACAATGCTATAAGAAAAATAGATAGTATTATCTAAAGGTGGATTTATTCCCAGATGGTTATTATTATTATTTTATCTAGAAACATAGAAGACTAGTGTTCTATGCATGAACACACGATTTAAGATAGTTGAATGTTAAGATAAGATAAGATAAGATAAGATGTTGATAGAGAATGTTCATGCCGTTCATGGTTCTATTTAATCTATTCTGTGGTTCTATGCTAGAAATCCCACAGATATATATGTTGTTTTATATATATTCTGTGATAAATCCACCTTGCATTATCAGATCTATAGCCGGGGTTCATGATAATATTTTTATTTTGTGATAATATAAAATAATAGCTCATATTCGTATTTCATATTATTCATATTTTCAAGTCTGATAATATAAAATATATAATACTTACTACTTAGTACCTACTAAGAACTAAATAATAGTATATTTATTTTTATAAGTAATTTTTTTATGATTATAGTGCGTATAATACTATACTTTAGTAAATACATTTTCAATGATAATTAAAACTGATTACTTTAAACATTTATTGTAAGAACACTTAAAAGGATTTGTGGTCGAAATGTACATAAAATCTCTTTGCTGGTTGAATACTACATGGAGTAGGAAAATATTTTTTTATAACAAAATATTCAGGGTTAACAGAATAGCACTCAAATTTTACAGTACAGAACTTAAATCGACGTGCAACATTGGTAAGTCTAGAAAGGCTTTATAACATTATCATAGTTATTTAACGTGGTACTGATAGGTACAATTGGGCATGTTGATCATGGAAAAACTACACTAACAGCAGCAATCACCAAGGTTCTTGAAAAGGATGGTCTATCGCGATTTGTAGCTTATGATGAAATCGATAAGGCTCCTCAAGAGAAAGCTAGAGGTATAACTATAAATATAGCTCATGTAGGTTATGAAACTGCAAAGCGTAAGTATGCCCATGTTGACTGTCCTGGCCATGCTGATTTTGTCAAAAACATGATCGTTGGAGCATCTCAAATAGATTGTGCTATTTTGGTAGTGGCTGCTACGGATGGATCAATGCCCCAAACTCGAGAACATTTGCTGTTGATTAAACAAGTAAATAACCTTATTGTTCAATAATGTTTTAATATGAAAATTTTTTCATTGCATTGATTATTATTTGCTATGATTTTTTAAGTATTGGTAAAAATCATAAACTGAAATTTATATCAATTGTTCTTAAAACACTAATTTGCCTTTTATGCCAGGTCCTCGCATAAAAAAATAGTTAACAAAATTTCAACTTTTCCGTCATTGACTAGTCCATCTTAATTATTTTAAAAAACACAAAAACGGTTTTATTTTAATTTTGTTATTTCTGTGAGGATATCATTTATATTATTTAGGCCAAGTTGCATAAAAAATTGATTAATTTAATATTAATATTAATATTTTAATCTTTTGACTCACATTATTTTATTTCTTATAATTTTCAAATTTTTTAACCAGTATATGAGTTTCAACAAAGCCTATAGGCTGTATTTCCCATTTAATACTAATAAATAATACAAATCTCAAATATGTTTAAGTTTTACTTACAATTTAAAATTATTATTTATTAATTATAGTTGAACTTTTTTAGGTTGGAGTACAACATGTGGTAGTATTCATAAATAAATGTGACATAACAGAAAATGATGTTATTGAACTTGTTGAACTAGAAATACGAGAACTATTGACCGATTTTGGTTTTAAAGGACATGAGGTTCCATGCATTTTTGGCTCAGCACTTCTTGCATTAAAAGGTGACACATCCGAACTTGGAGAACAATCTATAAGACAGTTAATGGATGTAATTGACAATAACATACCAACTCCGAAACGAGACTATACTTCTCCATTTTTACTGCCTGTAGACAATTGTTTACTAGTACCTGGCCGAGGGGCTGTTGTTATAGGCACATTAAAAAGAGGAACGGTGTGCAAAAATGACAAAGTCGAGTTATTAGGATTTGATGAAAAAAAAGCAACCAGTGTTGGGGATATCCAAGTGTTTAATAAATCAGTGGCAAGTGCTAAAGCGGGAGAAAATGTTGGTATACTGTTAAGAGGCCTAAAGCCTAGATTAGTTCGTAAGGGTATGATATTGTGCCCAATTAATACGTTGACACTGAACAATCATTATAAAGCCACAATTTATTTTCTTTCACGTTCTGAGGGTGGACGATCGAAACCGATCACATCAAATTATCAACAGCAGTTATTCAGTCATACGTGGAACATTGTTTGCCGGTACTTAACTTGTTCATATACTTGTATCTATAAGTAATATAAATACTAATGTATTTATTTATATTTTCTCTTAGAATTGATCTGGATTCTGCCGTATCTATGGTAATGCCTGGAGAACATGCTGAAGTTATAATAACTTTATTGAATAAAATGATTATGGATATTGGACAACCATTTACCGTACGAGAAAATGGAAGAACAGTAGCTACTGGTATTATTAGTGAAATTTTATCAAATGTAAATGTATCTAAAAACAATTTAAGTAAGGTGCAGGCAGAAAGTTAATAAAAGTGATAAAAAAATGTAGCATCTATTTGTATATTGTGTAATTAATATTTTCCTATAATATAGTACATGTATGCTGATAAATGATTATAAGATTATATGATAATATCTGAATTATACCTATACAATATACATATATGAATTTATGTATACATGTGTAATGTGTATATTATATAAATAATACAAACCATAGTCTATTTAATATAAATCACAATGGCACAATATTTAAAATGAAACTAAATATAAATTAAAATCATATTAACAACATTATTTTATACAATTATTAAGTGATATTTTTATTAAATAATTATTAAAATTGTATTTTACAAAGATGGTAAAAAAAAGTTTATTGCCAATTAATATAACAAATTTTCTTTAAATCATTTTTTAAAATTAGGTATAAATTAAAGATACAATATATAATTTTAGATTGTTCATACAATAAAAATATTATATGCTAATATAATAGTAATTAGACTACATGTCGTATACAGAGTGTAACTGTTCCGTTTACTAGCCTCTTCATCAAATTCCATGCTTCGGTTCGCGACATCCCAGTCACATCTATGTCATTTACTGAAACCAATTCATCTCCAGCTAATATTTGTCCGCATTGCTCTGCACATCCACCTAGACAAATAATCAATCATCCAATATTACTGACATAATAGAGTTGTTAAAGGTACTGACCTGTGAAAATCTTTTTCACTGTTAATGGTTGGTCACCAGTTGGTGAATTCTTTCCACCTTCTAAGCTAAAGCCTAAACCAGAACCGTCTTTTGATAATACTATTTTAGTTAACGGCCCAAACACTCTATTTTCAATAACATCTATAAGTTAAAAAAAAAAAACATACAGGTTAATAAATGGTAACTAATATCGTCTAAGAGGCTGTATGTGTTACAATTTCTTCTCAAAAGATTCACCATAAAAATAATGTAAAATAAATACTTCTATATAGGTTCATAATTATCATTTGTACTGTTTTGATGATTGTAAAGCCAATGAAAAAATTAAAAGTTAGTCTGTTCTAATTTATAATTTAAGTATAAATCAGTTTAAACATTTATGGAAATTGATTGTTTATACTGATCATGCCAATATATCTATCATATGAAAATAATAGTTAAAATAGTTTAAAATAAAATTAATAAAAATGTATTAAAAAATTCGTTACATTTTTTGGCAGGGTAACATCCAAAACGATGGTACCTACCAAAGTGTATATTGTCGAGCTAATTTTTATAGGAATATCATTATCAGTCACTGGATGAATGGTAGACTTGATGTAAGTACCTAACCGGATATTTTGACATTATAGGTATGGATACAATAGTATATGAATTAACAAAATTGAAAAGACTGGGGTTCCTAAACTAATCAACCAACAAAACGGGATTGGCATTCGCGTAATTTCTTTTTTGATATCTATTAAATATAATTTTAGGGAGAGAAATTATTTAAAGTATAGAGACGTGGACCAAATTTATTGTGTAGAGAACCAAATTGTTTTAATTCCGACGAAAACAAATCTGGTGGTTTGATGTTAGAACAATTTGCCTGCACTACATCTTACTCGACTTAGCACCAACTACGAAGCACCCTCGTTTATTACCATTTTTAGTCGAAGTCATTAGGTCAGCAGATTGATGTAGCCCAACGGATTCAGTGGTCATGTCCGATTTGCACCTAGATATTACCAATACTACTTCAGACCTAGGCGCCTAAAAAAATACAAATACAATAAATTAAATAATATTTGTAAACGTGTAATTGGTTCAATCTTACTTTAAGTATTGCCAATGATTCTCGATGCGTGATTCCTTTCATACTCTTGCCGTTTATTGATAATATGCGGTCGCCCTTTCGTATGCGGCCGTCTTTATCCGCCGGACTTCCGGTCAATACTTTATACACCTGCGAAAACAAATTCATCGGGTTAGTCGAACTCATAAGCACAACAATTTAGATTTTGAACCATCAGTGGACAACATTTAACATTTATTAAACGGTGCCACTTGAGTGTATAATTATGTATTTGCCGCCGGCTTATAGGTAGGCACCTAATTAAACTAATAAACGATCCCGATTCTCGACGATCGGCAAGATTCGCCAAGACGTATCTGGTGTGCAACGTCCTATTCCCATACCTTTAAGAACTGCCCGGTGAGTTATCCACGAGAAACGTGTCGTCTGTCCTAAGCGATCAAGACTCGTTTCGTCATTGCCATAATAATCAATGATGTGTCTATATTATATATTTATATATTATACGAACTCACGAGCGTGAAAAATGAAAAACGTGAGAACTGCGCGATTGGGAATCAGACGACGGAGACAGTTGCTGAGAAAAAACTCAAACTCCAAAAATAATTAAAAAGATATTGACCGCAAATAATGAAGACTGGCGAACGATTATAGGTTTCGCGTAATGGTATTTAATAGTATAGTACTGACCGTTATTTCTTTTGTTTCATAATCCGCACCGCCGGCCAACGTGATGCCTACACTACTGGTGGCCATGTCCCGGTGTAGGATGACGACGGTCACTTCGACCGAGTGCGGTGGAATGGCGGCGGCCGCGGATACACCGTAACAACCACTGTTGTTCTCTTCCAGCGTTTGATTGGCCTCGTCGATGAGCTGCTGGAGTTCCTGTTGTGAAATCAGACTGGTGGACGACGCCAGCGAACTGATGCTACCGAACGGTTCGGCGTTGACCGCGTATTGCATGGACGAATCGTCACTTGTCGTCGACTCCACGGACGACATCCGGTTGTGCGTGTACCTATTGACGACCGCGGTTCCGGTGGCGAAGGCCAGCCCGGACTTGGCGGATTTCAACACTGGCCCGTCCGAATGCGGTTGGTGATGATGCTGGTGATAGTGGTGGTGGTTCGGCAAGTATTCGGTCTTGCACGCGTAGTTGTTTGCCGGGGATGACGGCGACAGTGGCTGAAGTTCCGGTTTGCCGCTGCTGATCCTGGCTGAGCAGAGGACGTTCTTCCGGTTGATGGCCTCCACGCTTTCGGCTTTCAGCACTCGTTTTCCGGTCTCACACGCAGGCGGGCCACCGTAGTTGGCGGCCGCGTTTGCAGTTGGTGGCGGCGGTGACGACGATGGCAGTGGCGGTGGCTGCTGCTGCGACTGAGGCGGCGGCGACGAAGCGGGCGAATACTGTTGGAGTGACGTGCTCGACCGACTAGAACTGAGGGCCGAGTCTTCGTCGCTATCCGCCTTGAACGAGCCTTTATTGGACGACTTGACAGACGATAGTGGTCGTTCGTCGTGTATGTGCCTGAGTTCCTCTCGGCTCGAGTTCAACGACGATGACGTAGACGAAGAAGACGAAGACGACGACGGCGAACTAGATGCAGACGACGGACGCCGCTGTTCCGTCACGGGTGCGGGCGTGAGGACGGGGACGACCACGAACGACTGCCGCAACACCGGGTTAGTACGCCTGGTTACCGTACCCATCACCGGTTCGTTGACGTATGTCTTGGTGGGTGGACACAACACCGCGCCGTCGGTATTGTCGTCGTCGTTTTCCGACAGCGGAATTTTGATCACCAGCGGTAAGTCGGGAATCGCGGCCGGATGCAGATGCGACTCGTCGGCGCCACCGCTACCTGTGCTGTCCCCGTCACCGCCGCTAAAACCGCTTCCAGACCCTGGCACTACTTTTTCCGGTATCACCAGTCCCCTGAGCTTGGACATGCTCCGCCGGCGCTGTTCGATCAGAGCGTTCAACGACGACCGTCCCATTTCCGCGTACGCGTTCATCGTGTTGAAATACTTGCTGTACGGCTGCTCGACGAGGCTTTGAGACCGCCGGTGGTCGGCAGCCTGCAGCACTGGCGAGTCCCACGACGGCCGGACCGTGGCTGGATGCTGTTGCTGTTGTTGTTGTTGCTGTTGTTGTTGTTGTTGTGGTTTCTGTCGTTGTTGTTGCTGTTGACGTTGTTGCTCTTGTTGTTGAGGTGGTGGTTTGCGCGGCAGAGAGCTGTAGACCACAGACTTTGGTGACGCTGCCGGTGACGAATCTGTGGACGCCGTTGAGTAAGCCGACGACGACGATGACAACGAATCTTTTTTCTCGCCGCCCGCAGCCGTGGCCCGCGAGAACATCGCTATTTTATCGCGCACGCTCCTGTTGCACACCTCGTCCGTTCTACCCGAGATGGGTCTTCTCGGTGTCATCGTCGTAACAAAGTTTCTCGAACCGTCCGAGTCCGTTTCCGAGTCCGCCCTGCCGGACGGCTCTACGGCCACTGAATGCGCCGACTTCATTGCCGCCAGTCCGCCTCCGCCGCTGTATGGACGGTCTGGTTCACAGCACGATGTCAGGTCCGGAGTCGAGTCACACTCTGTGGACACAAAAGGAAATATGTGTTAATTCGTGTTGTACAGTGTTCAAAAATGCCTTCAAACAAATGGAGGGATGGAGGAAAATATAAATCGTAAAAAGTGCAGGGATGCCATTTCCCCGCATTCCGTACGTGCTGGCAACTGTTATTATAATAACCATCGATGTATGTACATTTCAATTGTTTGGGCATTTCCACTCCAATGGTTTGTACCTTTTTCGAAATGAAAGGATCAAAAATAAGATTAAATCTTTCTACCATTGTTTATTGTATTTGTGTAATATGATATAGCATTTGACGAAGGTGGGGAACTATAAAGTTGTAGCTAGATAAGTTAAAAAGTTATTTTTTTTCAAGTTTTGAAATTAACTTAAATTAGTTGATACAGTAATTAAGTTATTAAATTAACAAGTTAAAGAATCCAATGTAATAACTTTTTCCAATCCTAAATAATTCGTTTAGTTAAAAATTTAAAATTACTCTGCTCTATCGCATAAATATGTGTGACCCCTAGATGGTAATTTATCATTTATTAAAAATAATAATAAACTTATTTTTAACTGAGTTAGTTGATATTTTTCGCCATCTTAGGTTCTTAACTTATTGCTTATCGACTATAGTTATTGACATTGACTTGAAACTTAACTAATTCAAGTTAATTATTCCCATTTACTTTCCCAAATTTGGTATTATTTTAGTCTTTTTTTTTATTA